GTTCTAAATTAGGAAAAAAACAGCAGACAATATAGGATAAACTCGACCAGTTTTATCGAAAAATACTGAAATAACAAAAAAAAGGCTAGTGATTAGGGCTACAAGTGGCAAGGGTTTAAATAGCTGCAGAAGATGCGACGTAAAGGTCCCTCGGGAACCAAGGTTTGATATGTATAATAGCCAAATGCCGAATATCGGTATGGCTTGTAAAAGGTGTCTTTTTCGGAGGTACTTTAGCGAGAAATAATCGGCTGTCCCATTAAATTAACTTAACACCTTGTTTTAGGGTAAATTTCAATAAAACGTTTAGTGGTTTTCTCATTGGTTACTCTTTTTTTAGTACTTATCTTTCTTACAAATACTGAACTGGCTGCACGAAAATCAAACGGATAGGGCTTCTGTTCACACATAACAACGGTGATTTCGGCGCGCTTTCTGTAACGGTGCGAAGCTACGCCGTGTCGATCCGATCGATTTGGTTTAGTGTGAACATGAGGTATTCGGACCGTAGCGGAAGTGACTAAGAAGGTGGGAAAGAAGTCTGGAACCCACTGACACGGAGGAGTGAGGACTGGAATTTAGGGACCAAACCCTCTCGGCTAACGCTCCGGCGGGACGATGTTCGGTGTCAACATACCATTGATGCATTGAGTCTCTGTAACACTGAATACAGACCAGTGAACATGCTTTTAAAGAAAACGTACCGCAGCACGTTTTTAACTATTTAAATAACTTACTCTTAGAAACGAACCTGGCAAGAGGAGGAAACGGTTGCTGTAAAATACGCACTTTGAACGTGAGTTTTCTAACGTTTCCCAAGCTAAAAGGAAAGTGTGCTATTCCCATTTCAGCGTTTCCCCTCCCATTCCCAGTGACCTATATACCAGTCACAGACGACAATATTGAGAAATCATTTTTGAAAGGTAGTTTTATTCCCTGGAGTTTCTAAAATAGTTTATGTTTCTGACACATGTATTTTACAAGCCCTATGATGTAGACGTTACAATGTAAAACCACAAATTAAGGTGTAAACGACAATTAGACTTCATTCCAGATACTTTCCCTTTTTTCCTTACCACATAAGAAGTAGTTATTCCAGAGAGTTGAAAAAAGAACTTGGATACTATGAATCTATGTATAATAGCTAAAGCGATCAACAAGCCCCAGGCAAACCTTATAATTGTTATTACTTAGCCTATTTACATAGTGTATACTTTCTAGTAAGCGTGAATGTTATATAAATTAAAAAAATTAATACATGAAACTTTTACATTACAAATGATAGGTTAACATGAATAAATGCAAAGTGACTTTTAAACCAAGAATATTTGAAATCAAACCTCTTGTTTCAAATAAAACAGGATTCCTTTAGAAAAGACAAGTTGTTAAAAATCTGAGACATATGTATTCTTTGTTTTAGTTTACTCTTACGACGGAGCCTGTTTTCAGAAAAGGGAAGACTATTCCAAGCTTATATATCTCAGGGAATTTCTTTGTATGTCTTAGTTAAAGCAAGGTCGTGCGAAGCCGAGGTAGACCGCATGTAACAGAGGTTATACTTAGAGTTGTTGTTGTTTATTCCATACATTGGTTTCAGTAGTTCATTTTCTAGAAGCGTTAAAGAGGCTGAAGAGGGTCGTATCTGTTTCTTGATAGTACGTTTTTTATCTAAAGTGCATGGACAGCAGCCTAAGCCGCGGAATGGTTCAGTATAGCTGGCAGCCCCCTTAGATAGATCTCTAACATATATTAAGGAAGGCGAGCAGGTGTCCCAGACTAGAATGGAAAAGATGACTGTGGGAAGTATTCTTGTAAAATAACTTTTCTAGAGCATTCTTATGTAAGTATCTGATACATATTAGGTATAAGTTGGTTAACGTTGTTTTCCAGGGATTTATACATTGATTCAACATGGCTAATCCATGACAGTTGTATGTAATACCAGTACTTCGTTCATTTCCAGTCTTGTTATCGAACAAACGTTAGTGATAGAAGTACGCATTGAACCACTATTTTTCCAAAAAAAGCGAAATCAATGTATATTTCTTAGCGGGCTTCAAATCATGGTGAACGTACAATAGACATATTACATAAGGTACATTAACGGGCCTGAAGAGGAATAACAGCAGCATTTTTTCTTTGCCGACGTTTGAATAATTCCAGGATAGCTTTTCTAAACTCTGGCATTCTGATTGTGTAAACGATGACATTGACAAAGGAGTTTGCCAGAAATAGAGCCCCAAAAGTTTTATGCAAACGCACAGATTTTAAGCGCGATGAAGCAGCTATAACGAAAGGTAGCCACATCAGTAACGATACAATAGTCATGATGAATAAAGTTATAGTAAGTTTTCTTTGTCTATTGGCGGCTGCACCATGTTGCTGAGGCTTCGCCCCAAGAAGAAATTGAACAACAATGGAGGAGTAAGAAACACAGATAACAAATAGACACAAACAGCTGTATGACTCCCACAGGGGAAAATAATACCACTGCAATTCATTCCGAAATGCGACAAATAACTGAAGGGTAGCTGATACCATGGCAGGTAAAACCCAGATTGCGAAAATTGTTACCCAGTAGACATTTTCTGTTATGAAACGATGCCTGAATGGACGGAAAGTCGCATGCAACCGATCTAAAGAAATTACTGCAATGCTTGTTAGAGAGGTAAGAGGAAACCAACAGAAAAGAAAGGCCATTGTCATTGTCTCTTTTGAGGTTAAGAATATTTTTACAATGGCACATTTGCGGCTTGCATATAGTTGAATTATCGCATATAAAAATGATATTACTCCAACGAACATGTCAGCAACGGTCAAGTTTATAACCAAATACATGGCGCGAGTGCGAAGATTAGTGTTCTTCATAAAAAGAATGATTGATAGTAAGTTCACTATCACTATAGCAACAGACACGGTAAGGAATACAGCAAACCAGGTGATGCACTCTGATGAAGAAGACATTTTGGATCCTTTTCTTTTCGCTTCAAACTTTAAGAGGTCCCCAATTTGTCTTGTTGCTCGACGTCTTCCTTTGGAATGAATTTGAACAAAGTTAAGTTAGTTCGAGAAGGGGAACAAATAAGAGTGAGATCAATTCCTTAAAGATCGAGAATGGAAAAAAACATTTACAGAAATTCCTCGAAAGAACGCTCACCTCAACTTTAATTCCTTCAAATGCCGTCACAAAAGCTGAATTGAAAAAACTGTTTTCACCTATGGAAGACATTAAAAGTAGCCCTTGAGGGGAGAGTAGTCAAAAGAATGAATTGGCTAGCTAAAAGATAAGACAAAGAGTCTTTGAATTTAACCTGAAAATTTAAGTAACTAACGGCGGCGCTCGTTTACTTAGTATAAGTAATAACTGATCACCTAGTCGAAAGATGAGTGTCACAGGATGCTGTAGTTTTACGAAAATGACCACCATTAAACTCTTCTAAGACCATCAAATATTCAGAGTCCTTCCGTAATTTTAATTTTTGGAGGCAATTTTAATAAAACTAGTGGTTGTCCTTAATTCAAAGTTTCCCGACTTCTAGTCATTCATAGCTCGAAATTAAATTTTATAGGACGCAAGTTTGCAGTGATCCGGAAGGGAAACAATTTGTTTTCTGCAATGGACAATGAAAGCGGAAGTAATTGGAACTAGCATTATTACGTCATGGCTCAGTGATTTTAACAGCGTCCGTACAGAGTCTTTAATTTTTTGAAAAATCTTGAATTTTGCAAAGCAATTTTCCAGACCTCGAAAAAGTCTGGGATGTTTTTTCAAAGCTACAACAATTGCTTAATAAGTGAATTTTTTTTCCCTTCGTCAAAATCGCCTATTTGGTAACCTTGAGTCTGCAAATATAAATTATTCTTTTGGAATAAAGGGTGGAAAAAGTCTTGAATTTTGGATCCAAAAATCTGTACGAACCCTGTTTTAAGTCCCAGGCGAGTTAGCGCTCATTCTTTTGACAACATGATTAGCTGGTCTAGATCGCGCAAAATTAGGCGTTTATCAGTTTCAAAGTTTTTTGTTTATTGTTGTCATAGTCATATCGATTTTACTAAGACCTATATTGTGACAAGTTTCAACGTATAGTCAATCATTGGTGATAATTTGATAGTGATCAGACAAGGATGAAATCACTTTTCAAGCGATTGAAAAATATCGGTATGGCCTCTGAAAAAATATATCGAAACACCTTAAGTCGATGAAGTAACTAAAACAACTAAATTTGAAGTTGATTAGTCGAATTGAGCTCATCTCATTTTTTGTTTCAACATCGCACTCTTCAATTGAGGAATGAAAAATTCAAACCAAACCTCGATTCAAAACCCGAATACTTTTCGTAAACTCTTCTAAGCTGCTTTCTTTTCCCGCCGTATTGATTCATTTAGATTGACTTCTTGAACATTTCCGCTTCAAAGAACGATGCCACGTTAATCCAATCAGAATTCAGGGGTTGTTTTGAATTTTCAATTCTTCGACTAAAGAGCGCGATCTTGAACTAATAATGAAGTACACAATATTGAAATAATCAAGGTCAAATATCATTCTTTCGTAAAAACGCTTGATTGGATTTCACTAAAATGAGTCACTTCAACTGTACGGTGTAGAAGTCCTGTGACCTAGGACGCGATTTCGTAAGCTAAAATTTGAGACCCTGATATTGCGAATAGTCAGAAAGTTTGAACTTCATAGCTCAACAACATTGTCTACATTCATTCTCATATTTCTCTGCGGCCGAAGGGAACAAATTGGTTGAGTCTAACAATTCTCTGCTCAGTGTGAAGAAGTTGAAGCTCCATAACACATCTCAAGTCGGAATCGTTGTTTGAGCGAATTACACCGTTGTGTCCTAGAAATGACGATCTGCTGGTAAGTAGCTTAATAGTGATGTTTCAAATAAATCAAAACAAATTCACCTCCCTGGAGAAAACAGGCAGCTATTTGGCTATTTTACCTTCACGCAAACTCTTATTTTCTTGGGTTCTGCACTCTCGCCAAAACAGCTAACCTGACGCGCTGTGCGTTGTCTTAGAAAAATTTGCAATATACGTCCGTCTGACTGATGCTATAATCTAAGCATCTTCAAAATGTGGTTAGCGCGTGGGATTAAAGCCATTCAGAAACGGAGAAAGAATAATAATGTTGGATAATCCCCGAGACTTCAGCTGACCTGAGGTCAATAATTTTTCTTCAGTTTAACTCGTGAGGTAAGTATGGGAGAAAAAAAAGAAACTTTTAGTTCAACATTTTTATAGTGTGAGCATGACATGAACTTGAAGAGAAATGTACATAATTTCGTTTTTTCCAGGCTATTGCTGAACTTTATTTAAACCGTTTTCATAAAAGCATAAGCTTTATGTTATTTCTTGCTAATCTTATTTCTTACTTTAATCGTTCTCGTAGACTGAGTGGTGGCATTTTCATTCGTGTCGACGATCAGCGACGAGGGACTTCGAAAGATTTATAGTGTTCTTTACTGCAGTGCTTACAACGTTCCCGTGAATTGGTTCTTTCTTACCAAAAATGAAAAAAGTAAAATTGCATTTTGTTCGCCCACGAAGCACTTAGGAGTTCCTATGAACTCGCTTAAACGTGTCCGTGCGTTCCAGATCGAATTGGAATTTGGAAATGTTGGTTTTTGAGAGGAGGGGAAAACCGGAGAAAAACTGCTCGGAGCAAAGGAGAGACTCAATAGCAAACTCAACCCCACATATGGAACCCGGTCCACTGTGGTGGGAGAGGCGCCACCCTTGCTCTCCCAAATCAGTCTGTTAAACATGTTGAAAGATGATAATTCTTGCGTTTATTTTGTTTTAAGTTGTTTTGCTCACTACCTTACTTGCTTCAGCAGTACCATTCAGTTGAAATAATAAGTTTAAAAAGGGAGTTAAATAGCTGTTAAACTATCAAAACCTGAAAAAACTTACCTTGAGATGTGCTATTCCGAAATAAGACGTCTTTAAGAGGTTTTGGAAATCAATTTTCCTGTCATTATACTCGGCGTCGTGTACTGTTCGCGCTCGATCTCGTTCTGATACAAAGTCATTAGAGTTTGCTAATAATAATCTCAGGAAGGGTGATATTGGGGAATATGACGTAGTCGAGGACCATATCTATAACACCTGAGTAACTATACTAACAGTAAAAATAGCAGAGGCACAAATGTCTTCGCAATGGCTATTGCAAAATTTAACTGACTTTTGCCATTGTTGTCATTTTAATGACAGAAGTCAGACGAACATGACATTTTAACGAAAAAAGGCAAAAAAAGTGAGAATTCGCTAATTTTAAATTTCAATTTGTTTGTCTTAGTTTCAATTCTATAAATAGCAATTGTGCGCAGCGCTATTAGGTAATACAAGATGAGAAAATGCAGATATTAGACATCATTGAACTAATATAGATTACATAACCATGAAATTTGTAAGATACGTGTGCAACAGCCAAAGTAGGAAAGCTTTCGATTGAAAATAAGGAAAGTTAAAGAAAAAGCCAACAATAAATTACAGCGAACTAATACGTTCGAAAAAACAGGAGTTAAAAAGCATAAATGAAAATATGATAGGATACTATTAGTAAAACTATCATGCATTAAACAATCGGAGTATTGACAGGTTTCACACAAACAGGTAGGGAAAATTGGGTTTCAATCATATTTGATAAAATAAAGGAACTATGGCTGATATGATTTGCAGGCTTCCTGTGCCAAGGAAACTTTGCCACTGTTGGTTCATACTCAGTTTTGGTTGGTGAAATTGTTCTCAGATGCTAATGTGAGTCATAAGGGTGCTATGAAACAGTGTTAGGAATACTGGAAGACTGATGACCATCTTATATGAAAACACGCATTGATTCAGTTTATCAATCACAGTCTTTCTAATGTTAAGAATATCACAGAGTTTATCAAAAACTTGGAATGACGAACTCTCCTACCAAAGGAGAACGTACAGCAAATGCATTTATTTTGAAGAGTATAACTCTTTGGGTCAGATGACTATGTATTTCCCCAAGCTACAACTGCATAATTTAAACAAGGTTATATGAGTGTTTAAGCATTTTTATGCCAACATAGCGTCTTAATTGATTCATATTCAAATATTTTTAGCTATCTTGTTTTTAACGTGGCTAACTTGATCTTTCTAAGTTAAATGACCGATGTGCTAGATAAACTCTAGTGTGCCTTATGCACGTTTTCCTCTCAAAACTAAAAATACTTGTTAGAGGGACTTTTTTCGTGGATGAAGTTATGTAATATGAAGTTGATCTTTTTCATGTTGAAAGGTAGTTTATTAGCAGCACAATAATTGGGGACTCTAGCCATCTCACAATACATAACTGATTCAACGTCATGTAATGTCATCCGAAGAAGAGGATGTTGACATCATCAATAATTCTGTGAAAAATTAGCAATGTCATTGATACTGATAAAGCAAAATATTAGGGGGTCTAAGGGAGATCAAGAAGTTATCTATAATTGACGTGTCTGTGATAACCAATTTATTGCTTAACAACAATAATAATAATAATAATAACAGAGAATGTGGCATATGAAAACCGTTGTGATCCCTGTGGTCGTTGGTGCGCTTGGTACAATAAAGAAGGAGATGGTAGAAAACATCAAGAAAGTATCAGAGAGAGCTACTGTGACAGATATTCAAAAGATCTGCATGCTCGGATCTGCACGAATCCTCAGGAAGGTGCTTAGTGTGTGAACAGAATGATTGACTTGAGTGACTGATGCTCCAGGTGCATGGTTTGCGCCCGTCTGATGCACAAAAAGAACACCAGCAAAGGCTGTGATAGAAGAGACAATAATAATGATACTCACTGATTCGGGACTCAAAATCCTCCCAAAAAAGGCAAGGCAGTCCGTAGCTCCCTCTGAGGAATTTAATAATTTAACATCTACACCGGGAGATATGGGCAACCAGGAGGCTTGAACAAACTAAACTGTGCAGGAGACATCAACAAACTACAGCGAAACCTGTATCAGAGCGGACACCGTATTAAGCGGACACCCTCTATTAAGCGGACAGTAGCGGAAGTCCCAAAATTTATTTCCCTTATTTGCTTTAAATGAAACCTTTATTGAGCGGACACCTCTATTAAGCGGAAGCGGACACCTAAAAAGTACCTGAAATGGTCATTTCTATTGTTACCAACCTGTATTAAACGGACACTTGTAATCAAAAACCACCACCCAACATGCCAGACACCGGAAATGCGAGATTGCCTCGAATTGCTACCCAATAGTTCTTCCATTTTTACGTTAAAAAACGTGACTTGCCGAACATTTTTGATTAGTTTCACAGTACAGTATTGTTTTCTATTTCGTTTTGTTTGTGAGAGCTTGTTTCACTCATCTGATTTCTTCAAATTTGAGTTGTAATCTATGTTTATGGTATTATGATCAACTGGTCCACTTTGATAAAGAAATTAATGCAAACGTATATCGTCAAAATCTCTGGGAGTATTCTTAACCTTTCCACTGTTCATTTAAATGGCATTTGACACCTCATATGACGTTATCTATCGAAACCTGTATTAGGCGGACACCCTGTATTAAGCGGACTCTACAGCATTCCCCGAGGGTGTCCGCTTAATGCAGGTTTCACTGTATGTTATGGTGTGTGTTTCATTAACTTGCTTGTTTTATAATGGTTTTTGCTGAATTAGTGCCAACATTAACAAGATGCTGATGAGTAATATCCCATTGATCAGTTAATAAGCGCTTTGCATGACTTGATCTCGTGATCAACTTTCGGTAAAAACGAAAACAGTTCACTTTTGAAAAATTTTGTTAGCACAAGCTGAGAGAGCGTGAATATATAACCTGAGTATTTTCAGTCGTATGTCTCAAAAGTAGCGATTGCAACGGCCGCCGAAAGTTGGAACTTTTGCCATCCAGTCACGCTTGCATGGTTTTCCATACAAATCCTTGCAATTTCGAAATTTTCAAGGCTTTCATGAAATATTTTCTTAAGCATAACAGGGCTCAAATCGCATCTCATAATCTTATCTCAAATTCATAACAGGCAATTTGAGCCCGTACATGCGGAAGAGAAAGAATTTAACGACAGTTTAAAAATGTTAGAATTTACAAGGACTTGTATGGAAAACCATGCAGGCGTGACTGGGTGGTAAAAGTTGTTTTTCTCATACAAACGCTTCTAACTTTCGGCGGCCGTTACAATCGCAGCATTGGAGATTCACTGTATCTATGCTAGGACCAATAACCAGCATTGACATCTGAGCTCTAATATATTGGTACTCATCACAAAATTATTGTCATCACCAAATATAATTTTTGTGATAACATGATATTTGTCGATCGAGCATACAAATTACTAGTAGATGGTCTGAGATATCAACCAGCGCAACCCTAGAAACCAAATCCATATTTATTTAGAATTTTTCCAGATATAGTCAATCAAAGAAGATAATTCCAGCAGCTTGTTAGAGTAAAGCACTTTTAGGTACTCTTCAGTTATTGGAAGCGCAGCTATATTTAAAAAAATCGATATTGAAATCTCCCGGAATATAAATGTCAGACTAACGTATCTCTTTGATTAAAGAAACAAGCCAACATTATTATTAATATATTATTTATTTATTTATTTTTATTTATTTTATTTTATTTGCCACACTAATTACAAAAAATATAGGAAAAGAAGAAGAAGAAAAAAAAAAGAAGTGGCGAGGAGACCTAACAGAAACTATAGGAGCTTATGAGAGGTTAGGCCTCCTCGAACTATGAGCTAGAGCTGTTTCACATCAATTGAAGAGAAGAAGGCGAAAAGTCGAAGATGGAAAGATTTATAAACTGTTTTCATACCACGAGGTAGTATCAAAGTGACAAAAAATCCAGGCACACATATTAAGTATCAGCGGCGGCTAATGCGTAGCTTTATAAGGAACTTGAGATCCGACGACAGCCCCAACGGTAACGAGAACGTCAAAAAAAAGCGATAGGTTAAATAACTGAGAAGAACAGCAACTTCAAACTTTACACGTGCATCACACTTTTTTGTACAGTTCCTTGCTGTCACTGCACGACTTTGGCTAATTTAGCGTTTTATGGAGGGCATAAACAAGCGACGGCGAGATTCTGTTTCTCTTTCTGAACTAGAGTATGGTTCTTAGGAATTGAATGGCAGGAGAGTTTGCCTACATTTGACAAAAAAGTAGAAGAGTACGAATAATCGCGATAAAGATTAAAAGAAAGTGAATTCACTTTTTATGCGACGTTTTCGCTGCTTCTTCGTCCTCGGATCTTAATGTCCCTATTACCTCATTACTAACACGTTCCCCATTCACCGCCCCCTGCACAGATAACCGGTGGTGACCTAATGTCAAACCTCATGGAAATGGAAAGCGGAAAGGTGTTTGACTCGCACAAGGAAACACTCGGTAGCATGTTACGAGAAGGAGCCCGCCTTATAAGTGTAGCACAGAGGAAAAACACTGACGAGCGAAAAAGATCATCGTTCTTTACTAACCTCTTCAACAGGGAGTGAGAATTTGCAGCATTAAAGAACCTCACTGCTTTTGGTGGAAAAACAATCTCTTCAAGACTTATGATCCTGTGTGTATCTTTGCTTTGATTCAGGGAAAACCTGTGGAGTTAGTTATTTTTTACCGTTTAGCCGACTGGCAACAATTCTTTTGCTGAAATTTTTTCCCTTTTCGCTTTTTTGACCTTTCTTAGATACATATGTTACCATGAACAAGGCCTGTTTGGATTGATTTCCCGGGCCCAGATTCTTTTCTTCAGAAACTTTTTCAACCGTCTTTTGATTCAAGCACGGTCTTTACTAGATATGGTTAATTGAAACTTTCTTTAACTGATGCGACTATAACAAGCACAAAATCAGTTTATATACAAAACATATGAGGAAAAGTCACAATTTCTGAGCAACTTGAGCCAGTAAGAACTGATAACATCCTTAATATCTTTCATTAGAACGCGATAATGTAAGACTTGCCTTTCTTCGTTTCAGATATATGTATTTGGAATGGCAGTTTTTTTTAATGTAATTTACCTTTCACTTTAACTTTAATAAACTGAATTCCAAGAGGTTGATACACGCAGAATACGTTTAGAAACCCTAGAAACCTCTTAAGTAACGCCAAATTGTTTGTTTTACTTGATGCGCGCGCATGAGCTTGACCCACCTCGTCAAGGGGTGTGGTCTGCTAGCTAATGTTGGAGGCACAGCAAAAGAAAGACATTGCCTTAAACTGGAGCTGAGGATGTCTCGCGAATGAATGTCGAACACCAGTTTCCACGCTAAGAGCTACAAATACCACCTACAGCAGTAAATAAGGTTCGATTTCGGAACTGACAAATCGCACAATGTAAGGGTGGACGATTTGAAATGTTAACACTGATTTTCGAACTGTATTGACCCGTCGGGCTGATACTGATCAAGACACCCGTGAAATCCTTTTACAGGGCATGAACTAAAAACCCCAGTCTCGTACGCGTCCCAGCCAGACTGTTTGCCTGTGGAAAGCCAGTGTTCCGCATGCTTGTATACTTCTTTCCCATAGCGGTTTCTAGCATAACGGCCTGGATTGAAAGGTACATTGAGCCAGCTGTTGCTGAAATGGATCTTTGTTGGCAGGAGCCCATTGGTGTTGGTTCCTTTCGGGCTCATCCTGTGCTGACCATACATCTGAATGGACCAACCGTCCGCAAGTAACTCGATTTTGCCTCCGGCTAAACTGTCTTCCACGCAACACCATGGTTGCTCTAGGAACGAAAAAATACAGTAGTTTTAACGGTAGACTTCTACTCGAACAATCAGAAGACTTTAATCGCTGTTAAACGAATGAAACGACGAAAACGATATAGGCAAAATGCACGTGAAAACTCGTTGTGGTGAAACACATTGTCTCTTTACCAATCCATCAGCTTGTGAGAATCTTCGTGTTTCGTGAATGTGTAGAATGCCAACTATTTCGCGCTTGCTTTAACGTTGCGCTGAAGCGCAATTTTATTGGCCTACATTAAACTATGCTAGTATATACAGTGCGTGTTTTCACTTACTCGTTGCTTTCCCTACCCATCTGTGCGACAATCTCTTTAATACGCCTCTTAAGACTTGCCAAAGTCCAAAAACACTCTAAAGTTATTATACTTACTGATAGTAGCAATTACATATCCCTGTTTGATAAACACGTCTTGTAGCTTGACAACCTTCGGAAAGTCCGCCGTTAGAAACGTTATATCAGCATCTCTTTCCCAAGGTAACACTTTGTTTAGCTTAACAGCACCTAATAAAGTCCCTTCTTGAAGTTCGCATGATGCATTGTTCTCGCGACATTGGGACATGATAAATATAATTGCCTCAGCTAAGTTCTCCAGACAACATGGCGGAACAGCAAGCCCCGACTTTATCGGACACTTTTCACCATTACGATGTTTTATACCCCTTCGACAACCGAACCACCTGTTTCTGCCGTCTTCTTCGACTATCTTTTTAATTTCATGCTTGTTTGCAAAGTCGACCAGTTCCTCATCGTCCACGTAAACGTTCTTCACATGAAACATAACATCCGGGCAACTCACTACTGTAGCTTGAACACCATGACCGGTCACACCCTGATGAGATCGGCTATATCGTTCCTTTACTCTCAAAAATAAATCTTGGTAAATTCCGTGTCCACTATTAAGCTTAAAGCCAATATCTCTAAGTGCAGAAGTTTTTGCGAGAAATGGACCCGACAGGTGGTCGCAAACCAAACACTCGTCAATAGAGTGATCATAGCCGGACCTGTAAATCAAGGTATAATTTTTGAGCTGCGTTTGAAGACAACCATTTGACCAGTGACCTGTTAAATTTCTATAGCTGCCACCAGCAAAAAATGTTTTTTCACGAGTTGAAAGAACTCTTAGGAGCCTTTCAAGGTTCACATCTTCTGTGAAGTGAGTTACATGAGGTGCAATTAAAACATACTCTGTGTTCACTCCATCTATTATGTTCTGAAGAAGTTCTGCTTTACTGAACACATTCTCTCTTAAAGAATAAAATGAAGCTTTTTTGTATAATTTGGCAGTCGCCCTATTCTTTATCACATCAAAGGAGCGTTGATTCCAGTTCTTTCCTAAAATATAATGCGTTCTGACTCCGGGATATAAACGATGTACGCTATCAAAAAATTCAAAAAACCATTTGAAGTGGCTGTTTTCACCTGATTGGTTAGTTTGCAAGGCTAGATGACCCGTTAACTTTGTCACCATCAAGTCATCAAAAATTAATGTCACGTGCATTTTTAAGTCTTTTCTTAGGGAACAGTCTTCCGTTTCAAAGCCTTGTCTATAAAACGGATAACCAAACATTGATCCTCTATAATGTTCAGGGCAGACAATTGTTGATGCTTTCGGCTCGTCTCCGCTGAGCCGTTTAAGCCTATCATCGTCCAAGTTCGATCTCGTAATCAACTCAATTTCTCGGAGAAGTTTTCGTAGATTATCGGAATGGTCGTCGATGATTCTTGCCATGGCTACATCACGATCCACGGACATCCGCACGTAATTGAGGTCTTTCGTTAATCGTCGAAGTCTTTGAACAATTTTCTCATGTGCCACGCATAGCGGTTTGTGGAGCACTTTCTTTAACATAGCTATTTGAGCTTCGTTTTGAATAATGGTACGCGAAGTATAATAGATGTTAATGGATAAGTAGATGACTAGTAAAACCAGGAGAATCGTCTTTAGCTTTCTTTGAAGTCCAAGCATTCCAATAAGTCGACGAACAAACCGATCTTGTCTCAGTTTAGCCGATAATCTTGTCCCGTTTTCTGTTTGAAAGTCGCCGTAATTTGAAAACAGCATTTTCTAATTGCTGAACAATATGAACTCTCTTTCAAACAGCCCAAGGAGGACATTGATGATAATTCCAATTCAGTACCTGTTCTTTTGTTCAAGGCTTAGAACTGGAAGTGAAAAGATGAAAAATGTTTATTGTCTAACTGAATGTGAAGAAGTTTACCTTTCTTAACGCATATCAATTTGTTCAGGCTCCGCACGAGTCTATTTGCTGACTACGCAAGAAGGACGAGGAAGACTAAGTACAAGAGTCAGCATTTGCAAAAATAACCACTTTAAGGTGATTCCCTAGTAAAAGAACCTAACATAGATTGTAGATGAAACTTGGTTCACTGATGTAACAAGTCAAGAAGATGATAAAACGGTAATAAGAAGTGGGGGTCACCGTGCTCGTTTTGACGTCACAATGCTGACAAATACGGCTATTTTGGACCCTTTGACCAAAAGCAGCCCAACACTAGACAAAAAGGAAAGATTTTTTCAATGATGCATGTGGTATCGCACAGAATTTGACTTTAATGTATTGTTTATCCACTTATGTACCAGAAAAATGCTTTTTAATGCCCTTGTTTTTTCTTTACGCTCCAAAGTAGAATTAAATTGGACACGCACTATTCGACACGTGATAGCTAAATCCGTACAATTTAGTAAAATTGCCAAAAAACTGAACATAGATTTGTGCCAATTTTTTTCTCACCGAAAGGAAGCACTGTCCTTATTAAAATCATGAAATAAAAAATGGGGGTCACCGTACTCGTTTTTGCGGTAGAGCTGCAGAAAGTGCGCACCAAGTGCATTTTCCTTGATTTTTGAGAGAGCAGCGCCGTAACTAGTATGAGGCCAACCGAGGCACTCGCCTCGGTAAAATTTTGACGAATTTCGCCGATCATTTTTATTTTACATAAGCGATCATCGGATATTTTTAACGCATCATGATATTACAAAGAATTCAGCAATTCAGTCAATATACTATGAAAAAATTACCATATCATCGATCTCAAGGGGCTACGTACGTTAACTCAAATTTTTTTTGAACAAATACTGATCAAAACCATTGGCGAGGTTAACGGTCACCCAGATTATGTAGCTTGTTTCTGATTATTGCTTTTTAAATTCCACTTAAATTAACTCGAAAAAAAGTTACCGAAAGGCCCAGAAAACGCTGCAAATCGCATTTCCGAGAGACTAAAGTTCAAAATTTCTCGGGGGGGGGGGGCATGCCCCCGAACCCCCCTGGCAACTCCCGCCTGCCTCGGTTGGCCGTTTGGTCTGGCTACGGCATCTCGACTGGGGCGAGTTTCAAAATAGAATGTATGCGAAAGGGGGAAGAAAGTATTAAAAACTCCGTTTTTACAGAATTTACATCGAGATATCACATTTAGGACACAATGAGATAAAGAAAGCGTTTAAATGAAAATCAAAGTGAATAAGCACAAATCATCCACTATCGAGGTTCTCCGTGAGGAAGTCAAACTCAGCAACACGCGTACTGCTTACGTTATGCACATTCCCACCAAATTGAGTCTCAGCAAGAAACAACCGCAAGCAAAAATTGCAATAGCGTTTCTCTTCGGTCAACTTCATTTTAATAACGTTACTTCACATGCTCTTTTTTACGGAGGCCATGTTGTTATGCGCAGTAAGAGATGCGCAGTGCAAAACCAGGGAATCACCTTAAACAACTTTATCCCCTTTTACGTTGCTGCGGATTGATGCAGACATTGGGATTGATGATCGTAATCTTCATCATTTCAGAGCGTGACAGCTCATAGTCTCACATTTCCCATGATACACCTGACATACCGAATGCTTTCTATTTCTCCCGAATGACTCCCGGATATGTGGTTAGAATGTGTTCCCTTTTTTGAATGTGTGCGCGTGTGTGGTGGGTTGTGGATTTAGGAGAGGGGGGAGGGGGCAGTGTGAAAGTGGCTTGAGAAAATATGATCATAGATTTGGTGCGTTGTCGCATCAGACAGGATTTTCAGATCTCTGTTAAATTCTTTCGGGCTACCATTACTTGTGCCCGGAAATACTCAGCACCACCCAAACAAAAAAAAATAACCATCGGCTTCTTACTGCAATGTTTGTCCATTTAATAAAATTAATGCGCGTTTATTCTGCTTGCCTGTTCGTGTTAAGTTTCATGGATGACGCGTATATATACTCTAAGAAAAGCCGCTTGTCATAACACCAACTTGAATGTTACCATCAAGAATCTTTACAGGAAAGCGCGCAGTTATTCTGTAAAGTACGAAACGGGTGAAGCTGTATAAATTCTGAACTGCATCTTTTGTAGCTCTAACATATTTGTTTTTTTTTTTCTTCTTCTTCTTTCTGCTTTCTTTTGGTATGAGGAGTTATCTCTAGAATTATAGAATTAGAATTATCTCTAGAATTATTTTTTCGTCATTTGATTTAGATCGAATAAGGAAGTCCAGAATTTACTATGGAGGCCTTATACGGACAAAATGTCGAAAGTTACAACCAACTTGAACAAAAACGGTAGTAAGTTACATCTTACCTGAGTACAAAATGTTTTAAAATTACTTGTTAAAAATGCTTAGCTTTTGTAAATCACTTAGCTTTTTCTCGACAACACATCGGGCTACAAATGCATTTTATACAAAGCTTAAATATAATCTTCAAATTAATTAGTATAAAATATCCAACATTAGGAAGCTGAAAAATTTTTCGAAAACATCTTTACCTTCGCAGACCCAAAATATATAAAATGATACATTATAACGTTATTGCGAAATGCATTTTTACCATGAATACAGTAGCAATTTCGCATTTAAATATCTCTTCGCTCATAAAATAGAACTAAACGACGAAAAATTTTTACAACGCTGTGCTTCCCTGGTCAATGCTCCCTTGATTCACCTGTGGCACAAGTTGCTGCTGTTTGTTGCTGTTCGTTGTTTGTATTTTTAAACTCGCAAGAAAATCACGAGAAAAGAAAACGAAAAATGCTCAATTATCTTACGGCTGCATGTCTCGTAGAGCCGACTAGACGACTGAGTCGAGATTTTGTCTCATAGAACGTTAGGCGTTAGATACCGATCGAGGAGGAGAGGACGTACACTAGAAAGCCTCGAGAAACAGGAGTATTAAAAGACGTTCGCCAGTGTAACATGACTAGACTGCGTGACAGACGAAACTAAACCTCTAGTTACGTCCATCTGCGAAACAGCACAGGAAACCTTGGTCTTGCTCACTAGCTATCATAATGTACCATGAATGGCCTGTTAATAAAGCCATTGTTTGATTGGCCAATCAGTCTTGATAAAAAATAGACCTTTTAAGCTTGTATGTTTTGTTTTTCTCATCTCGGGCAATGTGATGTTCCCCCAGAGAACTGTTTCTTTCAAATGTCTTCTTATTCACGTGCTTATGCATGTATAACTTACGAAACGACAAAATAAAAATTCCCTTGAGAACGTCACGTGGTTTGAATTGGGAAAACAAAACGTACAAGCCAAAAAGATCTGGTAATTCGTTGAGTTCATTGAGGGTGCCAAACAAGGATCTCAGGGCTGCTTCACAGACATCACTAGCCAGGGTAAGATTATGTCTGCAAAGCAGGGTAAAAAATGCCATGAGGCCTAATTACATTAAAAACATTTTCTATGAACAATGTCTGGACCCATCTCATCATACTCTTGAACTGAAATGCACATCTGAGGGAAAGTCGACAGTCCAGCAAGCACGGCACTGCCTTTCCACACGGCGTACTTCCGGTCATCCGGGCTTATGACCTTGACGCGTCCTGGGTCACGTGGATTGACTAGCGTAAAAATCTCCTTATGAAGTCTTTGTTCTAGCCCAGGTAACATGGTACTGCCGCCTGCAAAAGTCAAATTTGAAAGGCACTATTACGAGCTGCTTTACTGAAAGAGGGAAGAAATGAGACTTGCCAGAGCTTCTATAGCAGCGTATTGTCCGCCCTAGTAACAGGACACTTGACAGACTATTGAGTCGTATTAAAAATGTGTCCTTCATCTGAAAGCCAAGCTGTTTTTCTTTTTCTCTCACTTTCACCGTCACTGCAAGCACCGAGAGTAAAGAAAGTCGGCTGAAGCTATGATAGAGGTCCCATTCAATAGTTTCTGCGGAGCGAGCGTAGCATCTTGTTAACCCTTTTAGACACACCCTACCCTTTCATATGATTCAACCAACGAAATCTCTACTCCTTTAGGGCGGAGCCTCCCCGTATTGGCCATTATAAGGAGTACCTCCAACTCCCGGGGTCGCCCTACAGTTAATAAGACAACCGACGTAAGACTTCCCAACCTCTCTCTCCCTGATATGATTCAGATGGAAGCAAGGGTTCATTAAGTATTACTGGCTGGCAATTCATAAGCAGTGTTAGTACTCAAAGAATGACCTATCTCACCTGATAACAATATGTTCTCAAGTAATTCCTTTCTGATGTCCAAGTCACATTTAGTAATACATTTGTAGATAGACTCGTGAATTCCAACAATGTCCCTACCAAGCATACTGGGATTGAACAGTACTTCTGGACAGCGAAACCGCTCGCTTGCTAAGCGTATAGACTGGCCGTCTGGGAGCTGGAAAAGAAGAAACAAGCGCAGTATAATCGTTTGAGTTGTAGTTAAGGTCTGTTTTTGTGAACTTGGCCGCCAAGTGTGCGTGACTAATTTAATGTAACAGAGATGCGAGAAGAAGGAAGGGCTTAGTAAACGATACCACAGTAAACCTAGTTTTAACAGAAGCCATTCTGGTGTAATCTTACGTAAACTACGCTGACGAAATCTAGTTACAAAGAAAAGTAATTCACTAAGGTCGTGATAACGAGGGGCCAGTTATTCCCATGTCGGTTAAAGTTAATCCAATGACAACTGTTCCTTTTGCTCCGCTTCAAAACCTGCTGCATTTCACATGAAACAAATGCTTACATATTTTGATCAAAACTTGTTTCATTTTGGGATTTCAAAGACAGCCTGTCGTGACAATCGCTTAATCAAAGCTCACGAACTTAGTTTGAAAGGACAAGCGAAAGCGCACTCTGTCTCATAGTAGTACTACGCTGACTTCGCGTACAACATGTTGCGTGTCGCGTGAATGTTCCTTTACGTCGGTGAATATTTTGCCACAAATCATCCTTTCCCCTCTCCCCTCCCACATCTCTTTCAGACATTATCCCACCCACCATATATAACTCCTCGAACTTGTTGCTGGTCTCAGATTCTTGCAATTCCTGCTCAAAATCAAGTGCAACATAGGCTAGCTTCTCCTTGATATCCCGTATGATCTCCATCTCTGCTGTCGTCGTAAAAGAGTAGCCCTGTTCTTTGAGGATCCTCATCATGTACCTGGTGAGGTCCCTTCCGGCTAGGTCCATTCTCTGAGTGGCGTGAGGGAGCCAGTAGCCCTCGTAGACTGGTACTGTATGGCTCACTCCATCACCACAGTCAAAGACGGTGCCTGTTATCAGTACAACAGAAAATCGCTGATAAGCTCAAGATATTTCATGCGCAGTACGGTTCTCAACTTCCTGTAAAGCTATTTCAAACAACAGAGGCAAAAAAACCTGGTTCTTTTGTACGTTACACACTATCCTTCACCACCACAAACCACGTGATCCAAAACAAAACTCATTTATAAAAGAAACCTACGTGACCCTAACCTTTATAAAAAATCCACGTTGACAAAATTCGACCTTCATGTAACAATTAAACATAACTAAAGGCTTTGCGATAAGGAAATAAGCTGGAAATACGTGTTCTTTGCGCATCAATTAAACTAATACATGTATGAATTTACAAATGTTTAATGCTAGGTTCAACATATCCTTATGGAATGCCGCTTATGACAGAAAGATTTATAAGTAAATATGAAGAAGAACTCAAATATTCGTATTAGACCATAATTATTGGTATCAAGATAAGAATATGGGTATTATAAAACCGACCTAAATTGTATTTTCACATCAATATTTGTACGCCGTTGACAAGATGCATGCAAACCTACACGTTACGAACCGTTATCTGATAACGTAAATATACGTTCGAATTATACGTACGTAGCGTAAATATACGTTATGTTGCTTACCGCACAAATACGTTATGAACACAATATAATTACGTTAAGAGCCATTTCATACGTATACGTTATGCGTAACATGTAACATACGTTATGAGTATGCATTGGCCGTTCAGCGGTTAGATGTATCCAATGAGCATGCCCTAGGCGTCGGGGGAAAAGCCCGCGAAAACATGGAGGAAACGCGGCTTTGTCATTTTTGCAGTGGCACTTGTTGTGGTCTTCCTTCCATTGACTCCCTTTTATCGGGAGGTTTAACCATTTTAATCTGCAGTGAAGCGAGCATGCTTAGCGCTTCGATACAGAAAATGGGACTCATATTCTTATCTTCATACCAATAATTAAGTTCTAATACGACCTGAATATATGAGTTTTTCTTCATATTTACATATTAATCTCTTTGTCATAAGTGGCATTCTATGTGAACCTTGTCTTCTTTTCAAAGCAAACGTAAAACAATTTGAAGCCTACAAAAGAGCCCGAAAACAACAAACAAAGCGGTGGCTTACCTGTAGTTCTCCCTGTAGAGTAGAGCGCCATAACAGCTTGCACTGCTACATACAGACAAGGTGTATTAAAAGTTTCAAACATAATCTGTAACATACGCTCCCTGTTAAACTTGGGGTTCAACGGAGCCTCTGTTAGCAGCACCGGGTAATCCTGGGAATCTATTCGCAGCTGGTCGTAAGTGTAAGCCCAGATCTACACATACAAAAAAAAAACAACAAACAAGCGATCAAAACAGTAACTCATTATACAGCGCTTTTAAAGTGCCGCAACACCACACCAACGGTGATTACTCAGTCTGATAATAGGCCACTTCCGAGTTCCAAAAACCCCCACTTTCAAAATGAGGCTAGATGCACAACCTTTCTTGTGAAAATGAGTTCTATTTGCATGGGAATGAAATATGATTTCCATATCAAAGGCTGTGCACCTACCCTCGTTTTGAAACAGAGGCCCGGGGGAACTCGGACATGGCCTATTGCAATACAAACATATAACCAACTAGCCAATCAGAATGCGCCAATAAATAAGCGCGGGAAATGCTTCCAGAGAAGTCGCAATTGGTTTTTATTTATCTTCTGATTGGTCGAGCACAAAGAGTGGAAGACACGTGTGAGGAACAGCTATCTGAATCATGACACTCACGGACTCCATATCATCCCAGTTCAGCACGATCCCATGCTCCAGTGGGTACTTCAGAGTTAAAACGCCACGCATGTTCTGTGCGTCATCGCCAATATAAAAATCTCTGTAATCTTGCATCATAGCCTCCTGTGGAAAGTCACGAACACAGAGACAGGTGACTAGTAGCCTTAAAGTAATATCAGTGGCAGTCCACAACCAAATTTAAGCCCGGCTCTTTCTAACAATAATGCTGTACGCTTCTGTTTAAAACAATACAACGCTGACAAAAGTGCCATTGGAAACGTGCCTTCAGAAACGTTTTTAAAATATCACTCTTTTAATTCTTTCCCTTTATTTACTGCAGTTACAGCTGCAGTTCAATACTATATAAATTTGATCGACGCCCCAGTTGTTATTAAGGTTCATTTACGGTAAGCAAAAGACTACAAAAGTTTTTACCAAATGAAAGTTCTCACCTGATGACGCGGCTTGCCGACCACAGCCGGAAAAACTACTCGAGGCTGCTCTTCATTGGAGAATCCCGCTTTGCAGAAACCCGAGCCATTATCGATTACTGCGACAACTCCTCCGCTATGCTCCTAGAAATGAAACGCTCTGTTAGAAAAATTTAAGTGTGCATTAGGTAAAAATAAAAGTATTTAACTATCGTCATTAACACTAAGAGAAAAGAACGATGATTTAAACTTACAAAAGCCACGTTATGTTCACTCGCCACAGGAGCGGAAATAGGTGGCGCCGGAGCACTGGTACGAGTTGACACAGTCCACGTGACGTTCCGGTCAGAGGGTTTCTCGTCATCAGATCCCAGTGTTTCTCGGTCATCAGACGACTGCTCTCGCGCTTGTGCTAGGATGAGTTTCCCTACTTCGGCTAAATTCTCTCCGGTCTCTTCAGAACTCAGGGTGTCTTCCGAGTCACTTGAACCTATGATGTCAAGAAGATCATCCTCTTCTGCTTTCTTTGAAGAAATGGAAAGAGTTGGTGGAGAGAGGGGTTTTGCGTTCTCTTTGACCGCATCTCTACTAGCCAATTTTTCATCTTGTTTTCCTAACACATTTTCTGCCTCGAACTGACTTCGTGTCCTTTCATCATAAGCCATTTTTTCAAGCTGCTCAAATTCTTCATCTGAGGCCGTTCTTGCGAATTCATCATTTGAATCATCGCTTTTACTCTTTCTTTCGGTACGAGCTTTCTGCTCATACAGAGCTTTCTCAAGCTGTTTAAACTCCTCGTCTGAGGAATCACTTAATGCATTTTCACCTAACTGTTTTGTTTTCTCTTCTGCTGCAATTCGAGCTTTTTCTTCATACATCAATCTTTCAATCTCCTCAAACTCCTGATCCGAAGATTTCGTTGTCGTCTCCAAGCCTGTTGAACCTTCCACCTCAATGTCACTTAATTCATTCTCAATCTCGCCCAGTCTTTTCACTAGTTCTTCTATCTGATTAGCGCTGGTATCGGTAAGCAGGCTACTATCTAAATCAGCATGGTCTTCAGCTGTTCCACCATCTTCATTTCTTGCATCCTCTTCTTGACCCTCTTCACTATCAAAGCTCTCATGCCGTAAATTCACGTCCTCCTCATTTTTAGTCTGTGAATAACCTCGAAACACTGGATTATTGAAATTACCTTGCTCTTCAAGACTTAAACTAGCTTCAAACCTTTCAATAACATCATCAGAGCTATCAGACTCATCATCTGATTTCCAGTCTTTGTTAGCAACAGTGCTATGTAACTCAACAGGAAGTTCCTCCTCTTTTTCTTCCACTAACCCCCCTTTTTCCATGTTTATATCTTTTATTTCATCAACGTCCACCCCGCCGAAGCTTTCCTTGGGATCTTCAGGCGACGTTCTATCTGAGGCCGCTTTCAGCAGCTCTATAAGTTCATCTTCTGGCGATACTTTGCTTTCCTCGCTGATGAAATCGCACTGTTCAATGTCTATATCCTCAAGCTGACTTTCTACTGGAGATGAGCCTGCAGGGTTGGAATCAGCGTCCTCACTTTCCATGACAAGTTCGCTATCCTTCATAGCAAGCTCCGGGTTTTGCGGTTCAGTGTTGATATCCTTTAACTCGGTATTTTCAGCCATAATCCACTGGGGGTCCTGTGGTTCACTGCTTAGCGACTCTGTCTCATTAGCTTGATCAAATGTTTCGGAATTTGTTTTGGAACGGAAATATGCTAGTCTCTTCTCGCGTATTTCTTCCGTGTCTTTTTTATTTACATCAGGTTCCTACACACAAAAATAAAAAAATAATAATACACTAGTTAAAGTATGACCTCTAAACAGGGCTGGTGTTTACTCAATAGAGATAAAAGCAAGTGATGCTATGGGGAGTCAAGATGGCGCTCACGAGGGCGTACGTCTTGAATGTAGACAGTGACTGCGTTGTCTTATTAAAGTTTCAAGCGTATCGAATCAGCTTAAGCTTACGCGAAGGCAAACGTTATACAAAAGTTTCTTTTTTCTTTCAAAACTAAAAAATAAAACATCTACGATTTTTCACCTCATCCACTGACAGTTGCTGTTCCACCATCTCCACCTCCCTTTCATCAATGGTCATACTTTCTTGAATGCGCCGCCGCCGGTTTTCTTGTTCCGCCATCCACTGGTTTTGTCGTTCTTCTTCTTCTTTCAGTCGGCGCTGCTCTTCCAAGAACCTCATTTCCTCTCTTTTGAGGCTGTCGCTCAATTCCTTTTGTTCAAACTCAAGCTTTTCTTTTAGTTTTACAACTTCATGATCATCAAAACTTGGCCGCTTTACAGCCACTAGTTTTCCATTTTCTTCAGGGGCAACATAATATTCTTTTTCATTACCAGCTCCTTGGACAACGAACTCGCCGCTGGGTTGGTCTTCCTGTTTACCAACAGCAATTTGATTGACAGGTGATGCTTCATTTGATAAGCCTGTAATATCAACAGGATTACTGATGCGTTGCTCACTATCTTCAGCCTGTGGTAGTTTTGTCGAGGTGTTTTGACTAACAGGGAGAATGCTAATATTTCGTGTCCTTTCTCTTTGGTTCACCTCATCACTATTATCTTCAGTTTTCTTTAAATCACGATCTAAAATATTACTAGTGGTTGTTCCATTGTGGGCATGAACTCCATTTACTGTTTGTGTCTCCTTGTTAACAGAAGCAGGTTTATTAACTATTACATCAGACGCACGCGTACCTGTTTGGTTAGAAACATTCCCACTACCAATACTTGTTTCCTGGAATCCAGTGAATGCATTCCCTATCCTTTGTGAATGAAAAGGAGCCAAATTCGTGGCAAACTGAGTTTGAGATGTTGTTTGCTGGTATCCAAGTCTCTGCGGAACATTTATTCCGTTAGTAGCTGGGCCTGGGACTAAAGGATATGCTGCATTCTGTTGCGGTTGCTGAGCAAGAGACCGCTGGCCGAATTGATTGTAAGACGGGTTCGTATAGTAATTGGTTTGCAATGAATGCGAATTAAATGGCGAAAGAATATATTCTGGATCTGGTTTAACCACGCCATTTTTAACTAAGACTTCAACTTCACCGGGGGATAAATGTTGAAATAAATCTGCAATGGCTTTCTCAATACCAGAAAGCTGTTCTTGTGCGTAGAAGTACTGCTCCTCTACCTCATGTCTTACAACAGTGTTTAGCGGCTGTGCGAGTATTTGCCGCTGATGTCGAATCCGGTTCATCCAGTACATTTCCTGCTGTTTTAACGCACAAAACTGTTCAATTTTGTCTTGTGATACATCCGAAACCCTTGGGTGATATTTTTTAATTCCAGCAGGTGGTGGGGTATATCCATAAGATGACGGTGAGCTGTCAACGACGCTGTTGGTAATTTTCGGCTCATGAACACCGTTATAATAACCGTTGGTAGTGACTTTGGGTGAAGAACTCTGCGCTCCATTTGTATATGGGTAAGTTTTAACTTCAGGAGAAAGAGAATCGTGTTTCAAAGGAGACGTATCGTCTTCGTCATCTCTTAAAAACAACACCTCACTGAGCAAGCCTTCCACTTCTCGATCTATCGAATCATCCGAAGTTAGTTCCGGTTTAACTGTGAGGGACGAAGGACCGGAAGTAAAATGACCCGAACTTAAGGAGGATACCTTGAAGTCTTTTGGGTGTCTACCCTGACTACTGACGCTTGGACCGGAAGTTGATATCGATTTACGATTCAGGTAGCGTTCGTGGTCACTGTAACTTGCGTGGTTTGCGTTCAGCTCACTTAAGTCAAGTGGAGGAACAATTTTTTCTCTGATTTGTTGAAGTTCCTTTAGTTCTTTTTCCAGTTTCATCTGTTCCATAAGCAGATTATCTATGTTCTTTGATTCTTCTTCCGTTTTCTTGACTTTCTTCCGCGCCGGTTTCTTAGGCGCCATTTTTCTCGTATAGGATTTTAAAGGTGCGTTGTTCAACAAATCGCCATTTTGTTCTAATTGCTGCACCAGGGGGTAATTGACGTATTTCGGCTGTCTCTCAAAGCTTTCTCTAGGATCGCTACCCCTACTGTGTTTGAGATATCTCCCTGTTTCCCCAGGGGGACATGTTTGACTCATCACATCACCTTTCACAAATCCGTTAAAGTAAGACTGCGACGAGTCTGGCAGTTTAGAAGTTTCCCCGCTGTGAGGCTGCTTTTGTTTCAAGTCCATTGCCGCCGAATCACTGGTTCCATTTATCGCTGTGGCAGGTCGTCTCACAGGAGGTGTCGGTAAAATAAGGGTTTCTTCAGCTGAGGAGTAATCACGTGACCGGGTATACAATGACCCATTACTGTTGTTAGTTCTGTTGGGTGTGTTCTTGAGCCTGCTGTATGCAGATTCAGCCGCAGTTTGTTTGAGGAATTCGCTGAAATTGAAAAACCATAAATATTGAATTATTATCAAACCAACTTCATGATCACGCATGTCACACAACTCTTTACGGAATAAGTTAAGCGACAGTGCACTGCTGATGTGTAGACACGACAAACATAAACACGGACATGCTTATTGTTTAAGTTACAATTTTGAATTAGCGGAAAATGTCAAACATTTCCTGGAGTTTTTCAATTTCTCTCTTAACTCTCTTCCGCTGCAAAGGAAGAAACAGGGTTCGTACCCTTTTTCGAACAAAAAATTAAAGGACTTTCAGGCCCCATTTCCCACTTTTCAAGGAATCCATTCAGTGTAAAAAAGAGAGCCTTGAGACTGTGTCTGTTTTGGTTCTTCCACGACATGAGCAATTTTATCCTGAAGGTCTTTCTGTGTTCGTTCCTTTTAGGCACTGGAGAATCTGGGTTGGATAAACTTAGCATCGAAATGCAAGGTACCTTCGAACCCAGAAGAAACTGTTAAAAATAACAGGAGCCGGCGTTTTTCGTACAGAATAACTGATGAACAAACCTTGGCATTCTCCCAGGAGCATCTACTGAACGTTCCTCATTGCTTGTTTCTCGTCCATTGCCATATTCAATTAAATGAGTCTCGCGGGCACGGATAATCTTTTCTAGCTGTTTACAACGATGCGTTAGTAGCTTTGCTTGGTTCCTTAAATGGGTATCCGGGACTTTTTCCAAAAACGTTTCCAAATGTAGCAGCTCCTGAGGGGAGAGGGGTGGGTACTTGACCAGAAACCTCGCCAGTCTTCCCTCCTGAAGTTGTAGGTCCCGGTAGGAAGTAGAGCGTGTTGAGCTGGAGGGCCAGAACTCAGCCGCTTTACTGTACCACGTCTCCGCCTAGGTAAATAAGACAATGGCACATTTTAAATATAATAATGAAGCAAATGTTAATGTCCTTTAATAAGCCTCGGCAGCATTTATTGCACAAAGATTAGTTACGCCGAGCAAGTGACCAAAAACAATAATTTGGATGGTTAACACTCTAAACTGGTGGAATTTACAGAATACAACTCCTTCTAGCTGTCGTCACGGAAGGATATGAACGCCTCCAGATTGAAAACCAAGAACTCATGACCGTTCGGTCACGCTATTGTTTAGCATTCCCTTTTAATGTAAAAGTGAGAGATCGGATGAGACAGTGCAGTGGGCGTAGGTTTCTAGAAAAACGAAACTAATAATGGTTCAACTAATGGTTCAATCTTATTGAAGTTACATGTACTACGGATGTTAGTACAGGTAATAGCATGATTTGTAGTGATATTTGGCATAAATACCACGAGTGATATTTCAGACTTGTTGTACGTAATTTCACGAGCCCTTAGGCGAGTGAAATTTGAGACAATTTTGAAATATCACGAGTGGTATTTATGCCAAATATCACGTACAAATCATGCTATTATTTGTTTATACTACTGCCCGCAAAAGGTTTGTAATTTTCACATGTAGGTATTTCAAATTAAGCTGAAATACCACTGCTCTAAGCCAATCAAATTGCTACATGTATTTTTTTGGCCATAGATTGTTTCAGCAAATAAGGAATAAAGAGGGCGTTTCAGATGCGGTTCATTATGTAAGGCCAAATGACAAATCTTCAACTAAAAAGTCTTCCTCTTTTTGTCTCTTTAACATAATTTAATCAAAGCAAATACCAATGAGAGAAAAGACCACTGGTTTGTAGTTAGAGGAAAAGCGATTACATAAAGGATTGGCGACTACTTGGGTCCCTCGCCTTATTCAAAAGATTGTAAAAATTGACAGCATCTTCCAGCCAGCGTTTTACATGTTCCACTCTATTGCTGAAGTTTTCCAGATCAGATGTTAAAACTTTAGAGGCAGTTTGAAGGGGTCTCTTGTCGCGAAGATTTCTGGTGCTCATTTCCTCAGCTTGCTTTGCCAGCCCTCTTCCTTGAAATATTACTTCCTGTTCAAATAAACAAACATAGGATGACGTGACACTTAACAAAAACAGTTGTATTTGCCAGTTTTACATTGCCCATAGACACCTTCTCGGCTTTGTCGCCTAATAGTTTGCATTTTCCTCTGGATTGAAAACAACGGTCACGCAAAATTCTCGGAGTTAAATAACAAAATGAATTGAGCAATACGACAAGGCAAATTTCAAGTTTGTGTGCAAGACGCCTGCTTGGCCAGTAATTAATAAGTTTACATCAGGAAATATAGATCGTTAACTGAGGACCAATTAGCCACAAATTATTCTCTTTATTCCCTGTCATGAAGTGTCTCAAGGTGAACGCAGACTAGGGCGACAGGATACCTCTTTAGTAGGTGACAACCATAGGCAACTATCTGCCGACCAAATAGCCAAAACAACAGTCAAAAGAAGCCTTTTAGCCTGCAGTCCATCGATGATGATAATGAGTTAGTTAACTCAGCCTGAAGCCGCCTCTCATCGCTTACCGCCTCGAAACTTCCCAAGCAGCGGTTAGCAACAAAAGGCAGCTGTATTGTATTCATTGGCTTGTAAACATAATGATAAAATGTTTCATCAAACCTTAGCCAGTGGATAAAACTCCCCGTCAAACTGTGCTTTACTTTGATTGGCTGATCGCAGAGAATCGCAAGCTTGAGAGAATGTGTTTAATTGATCTTCAGCATCTCCACGAATCCATTTTACCAGCTACAACAAGAACAGTAAAACCAAAGTTTACTCGTATCGTGACTTCTCTTTGCGAAAGAAAAGCCCTTTCAAGGTATTCTCGTGGTACCTTGTTAAGGCTATGTGCGAATAGTATAGTAAATGATGGCGCTTGCTCCATTTCTTCTTTGATCTGATCGGAATAAATATGTAGACTAATAATGCATCATATATGGTCATCTGCAGTATTGGCGGACTGTTTCTTGCATAATTTTATGCGATGTGGATTCCATATCCCAGATTATTACGGAAAAGTGCCACACGATCCGAGGACATTCCTAACTTATAAAAACAAGAAGACTAAGACATCCCTGATTATCTGCTGTTTAATCCGAGATAATCCAGGAAAACATGATGCGCTTTACTATACTTTTCTTTAATACACTGACGCGCTGCAGATTTCTGCGACAGCTGGCACGCATTTCCGACATAAGGCACGTGTATAAATATATAAAGAGAGAATTCCCAATGTTCCGGGACATCAAGGATACATGCATAAGCTGAGGTCTGTCATAGCCTCAGTTTTTAACTTGCATACCACTTAAGTGTCCAAAATTCGTGTTTATCTTGCGCAGAATTGTATGCCAATAGTTTACCACATAGACTTAAGTATCTCTAGACTCGTTAAACAGCTGCGTACAAATGGAATGTTTAATCCATAGGTAAATTTAGCAATGTTTACGGTGCAAAGCGTTATGTAGAGACCTCAGCTGGCATGCAACAGAAATTGTTAACCGGTCTGTACTTCACAATACACCTGCCCGCGGAGTCCTACATGTTTCTTCTGTTAACAACAACTCTGAAGAATCTGTTCCATATCAATATAGCTTTAACCTTGTATTTGCACAGAAGCCTCTGGCTCATACACTGTAGTTCCGTTGCCAGAATCACTAACTGACAGGTCGTTTAAAGTTTGCAGTTTGCGCTTTACTGTCACACAACTTTAATACGGCATAGGACTCAAGGTGTTATGTGGAATACAGACCTCTAACTGTAAGAAAGAATCAATTATTTCACATTTTCATTCAGGACTCTAACTCACATCACACCTTGAGTCCTACGACTTCTTTTGTCAAGAACAACTCTGAAGAAACTGTTTATAATCATCAACATAGCCATAACCTTATTTATTAAATTATTTATTCATTTAGTTTTTGCGTAAAGCTCTACGGCTGACGCTTCCGCATTTCAGGATCACTAATTAAAAGTCAGGTCATTTAAAGTTTCCAGTTTGCGCTCTTCTGTAACGTAAGTTAATTCACAGAGGCCTTACCCGACTCAGATTCTCTTTCAGTTCAAGAACATCCTTGGCCTGGGAACTAGTGACCGGAACAGGGTGAGAAGTAGTTCCTCCTTCCAAGGCGTCTTGTAGCTGTTTTTTAGCTTGCATGAGCTGGTCACGGTAAGGTTGGATGGTTTCCATCATAGAGGCATACTGAGGAGTTTTGGACATCACTGAGAACGTTCTGTCAGATCCAGGTCTGACCGTCAGCTCTCTGAGATGGTTTCCTTCTTCAATGGCAACATCGATGGATAAATCACTGAAGGTTATATAAAAAAGCACGCTCCATGACAATATGATCATTTTCTCTGAAACTGATCATGAGATGGATAACTTCTTCAAACGGTTACATAAACACATGCACAGTCGGCCCCTAACACAAAGCGCGGGAATAATTTTATTTCTGATTGGTTCATGAGAAGCGGCGGAAATTCTCTCCACCAATCACGAAGCAAAGCAAAACCAACAATTGTTCAACTTCTAGCTACTAATAACTTTTGACGTTCAAGAGAAATTCTAGTACTGTGGCGGTACAAGCAGCCACGCTGGATTATTTACCGTTTTATCTTTGCCTTCTTTGTCTCCACTCTCTGAAGGACTAAATCTCCACCAGATTGCTCCTTTCTAGACTGCATCCTTTTTAGAGATTTCACTTCATTTAGTGCTTTAGGTAGATGAGTTGTGATGTAGTCGCTAGTGAAATAGAATTCCTCCAACTTCTATGGACAGAAACAGAAGCATATAACAGAAGCATTATATGCTTCTGACAGAAAACAATACAGACAACGCCGGAAATAGCTGTAAAACTGAAAGTGTAGAAATGTAAAAAGCATGCGTTTTAATAGAGGGGATAATCGAACATGCATGTGCAACTACAAAAGTAAGGTACAGTCGAACCTGCACTGACGCCCCCCTCTCCACAACGGCAACGGCCACTAACGCATGTCCCGAACTGCCAAAATAACCTCTCGACAACGCGGCCAGTTTTTTTTTTTCAGTGACTGATGAAAAAGTCAAGGATGGTCACGAATTGAGACGTTTATGATCAATCGCGGCCATCGTTAGCCTCCCCGCAGACGTCCTTTGGGGTTCGTTTGTCACGCATTAGGGGAGAAATGAATGCGTGACAAACGAACCCCAAAGGACGTCTGAGGGGAGGCTAGGCCATCGTATTTTTGCTTCATTTTAATATACTGCTGCAGTAAGCAAAAATTGTCTACGATACTTATAGCGAATGTTGCAAACGTTGCTCGTTTTGTCACGTTAACATTTTGATTCAAGACATAACTCGAGCTTTTTATGTATTTTATCTCTATACATTATATATGATTGGATTATCATGATTATGGGACACAGTAACCATGAACGTAGCACAAAAAACATATTGTACCCCTAAAAAAATTGTCATATGACACCCTTACCTCCCCGGCCATAACAGCCACCTCTCCAAAGCGGCCACTTTCTTCTGTCGCCAACGTGGTTGTTGTTGAGAGGTTTGACTGTATACAGTATTTATTTGTTATTCTTTACAAAAAATACATTGTAGAATAAAGATCAAGGTGAATTTGATACCTTTTGCAACCTGATCCATGCTTTATGATCATAAGCAAGTGAGCCACCGAAAGCGGAAGTCAGTTGACTGGCTTCAATGTAGGTCAAGAGATTAGATGTTCCCTGTACTGGAACAGTCTGAAAAGACACTAAGCTTAATTTATAATGAATACTAACAAACATTTAAACTTATTACGATTATTTGATTTGAAACTTTTACTTCCATTTCTTAACTCAAAAGCAAAAACTTTCCACTTTCATTTAGAGATATGAAAAGAAAATGAAAATGACATAGTACATTATTTTATTTTGCTGTTCATTTGCTGTGACAGTTTTGTATACACTGCCTAGTGGGCCAGCCTGTCCATACTGAGTTCTAGATGAGGAATGATTGAAAGCAAATTCAATTCAATTACTGGATTTGAAGGGAGCTACAAGCATGTGACATACGTTTTTAATATACAGTGTAAATTAACCTGAAAATTAAGCTGTCCTTTTTCGTGCCGAGCATGAATCTCTCTGGTTAAATGTCTCTTCACTTGCTTATTCTCTGGTAAAATGATGTAAAGACTTCGAACTGAACAAGTGTCATTCTAAAACAAACAAATAACAAAGAATACAACAGTGAAATTTGTAGGATATACATGTTAAGCTGAATCAATCACAGACATTATAAAAAACAATTACCTGAAATATTTGAATCAAGTCTATGACATGAGATACCACAGCTTCCCTAGAACTCCGGAAGTCAATCAGAAAAGAGATTCCAGCCTCTTTATACCATGACCTGTAAAACAAATAATTTTTTACTTATTTTGGTTGTTTCTTTATTGTTGTTTTTTTCTTTCTTTTCTTCTTTTTGTTTTTGTCTGAAAGGTGTTAAATGCCAGTATATTAGCTCCATAAAACTAAACATAACAAACCTGGCAAGAAAAGCAAGATATTTCAGCAGCCTGATAACATCAGCGGGGTTGAGTAGGACAAGGCTGGAGTAACGCTGAGATGAAAGTGTCACCAAGGGATGACCTTGTAAGTCACAGCCACCTGCACATGAAACAACATCAAGTTAATCTAAATATTTCATTTAAACAAGTCTACAAAGACATAGTTCCATCAAGACAAAATGCAGTACATTTTCCTAAAAAAAAAATCCAACAGTTACAGTTTTAAGCAACTAGTAGCTTCATGAATTGGGTAGAATATGTTTGTCTGGCATGGGTGGGTTATACATTTAATATTCAATAATTTCTGTTTATTGGCAGAAAACTGTTAAGAGTACATGTAGCCAATTATGATCTGAAGTGCTTAATAACAGAAAATAGCTATTGCCAAGAGTAACAACCTGTGAGTATGGCAATCTCTGACAAGATGAGGTTGTCTTCAGGCATATATAGCCTTTTTTCTTTAATTTTCGATCTTGCACTCATTGCCTACGAATGAAAATAAAACCACATGAATCATGTCGAGCTCTTTACACCAGCGAGTTCGAGTTATCAACAAATTATTTACAATTCATTTATTTTAAAAATAATAATAGATTGTTATTGTGAGTTATCATTAGTTTGTAGAAAAAATGCTATAAGACACTGTACTTACACACAGTGTGAAAAACAAAATTGTTTTTACAAGTAAACACTAATTAAGGTGCCCATTCTTAGCGCATGTTTGATTGACTAACCACAGTAATCTTAATAAATGGAATAAACTCTAGAAATCACTCACTTTGGCATTCCTGCCATGGAAATATCTAAAAGCCAGCTTGAAATAAAATATTTTGAGGTATGTAGAATTTACATGGTCCAAAAATCAGGGTAGAAGAGATCTGGAAGACAACTTTTGCATACATGCATTCTTATCCTGGAATATGATCAATCAAACACACCCTAACAATGATCACTTGTTTATAGTGTATAAATACACTAATAACACACGCTGTAGAGCAGCAGGTTGCTGAAGTGATATATGTATCAGAATCACCTCATGTGCAATATAATACCACTGTATCTAACAGAACACCTGCAAAAAACAAGTTTCATACTGTGAAATGATACAACTATATTCTCAGAAATAGATACATTGTAGTACTATCCTCTTCATTACTTTCTACAAAACAGTGTATACGCACTATTACTCATTTCTCAAGATTGTTTAAGCATAAATTTATTGATAAAGTCAAAAGTAGGACTTAAATAAAAAATGTTGAGCATCACAACAAGTCACTGGAATAATTAATTTCTGGGGTTTGAAATTAAAACTGCCAATATAACTATTTCATTTTGTTATTATTAGTTTTCAGTTCTCTAGCTATTCACTCAACATAAGGTTAATTAATTTCATTCTGGCCTGGAGTTATTTTCATACAGCTGAGAAGATTTTTCCCCAAACTAATAATAACACACACAAACACAGAGCTATTTCATTTGAGCCTATTTAAGTGTCTTAACTTGTAATTCAAAATGCATACTTGAACAAAATGATGCAGGGCTCGAATAAAGTCCCATACAGCAATCCGGGAAAAGAGGATTTTCTTGCTGGCTTTTAAGCCTGGTTTCCACATGATCATCTGGATCATCCTCATCACCCCATTCAGTAGTGTCAAATAATGTTCAAGTGATCAGGATGATCATATGGGAACACTACCCAGATGATCACAAGCAACATGGACAACTGAGATGACCTCAATCACTTGGACACTGAATTAAGTTCTTTTAGTTATCTGAACAATTGGGACGATCATGTAAAATTTGAAGTGATCATACAGAAACGCTCTCAGACAACTGAGATAATTGGAATGATCAAAGACTATCCCAGAAATCATCACTTTTATTACAGTAATCGGGGAGAAATTCAGCCTGGACATCTCTGAAGTATAAGATAATAATACAAAAATGTTTGCACCACATATGGGTGATATTTGAAAAAGAGAAAGTCTGTTCCATTAAGTTCTGGACTGTGATACTATGTCTATGTGGAACTTTTCTAGCCTCAGACTACACCGCAAAATCAAGAGTAAAGCAAGCCACAAGTTTCAGTCTCTGATTAAAATTCACCATACATTTATGATTGGCTTGTTTGCAAAACAGACAGGTACAAAAATTTCATTGTCTGACCCAGGAAAATCACAAACATGCGTCTCTTGTCTTTAAGGCAATTGAGACGATTTAATGGAAACTACCAATTGTCCGAGTCGTCTCAATTTTTTTTTTGAAATGACTATGGAAATCAGGACGGTCACATGGAAACAAGGTTTAAACTCACTTGCCCAAAGGGTAAGGGTCCAGGCAGGCCATCTTCTAACAAAATAATTAACTAAGATGAGCAAGAAGTAGCCCTGTGCAAATAAAATATGAGAGAGCTGTTTCCTCATAGGACAGGCTGGAAACTATTCAAGTTTTTTTCAAGCCCTAGAACGTTTGATGGCTGTCTCTGTTACTGATCCTATGAGAACTAAAATTTTCCCCATATAGCACTATCATGATCATGTTTACAGTCAACAAGAATCCCACCCAGCTGGGGGCAGTTTGTTTAAGAAACTGCTGAATGATTAGATATCAGTGTTACATGCTGTAATGTGGGTGCTGAAAAGTGAGTGCAGGCTTTTAAACCAAGACTTACCTATTTCCAAATTTTTCTTGCATGTATTTTGCCTAAGCCTAAAACCAACCTTATCATCTTATTTTCTCATGGGCATAAATAATTGATTTTAAAATTTAAGAAGATCCTGGTAAACATTGTGCGAATTATGTAAATTTTCAATTATTTTGAAAAAATACCTGTCCAGTATACATGTATGTATCGCAACCCTACTTGTGAGATGTTTGGTGCAATTTTGGTGGCTGATGTGAGTATTTCAAATATTCATAACAAGTGATATAAGTATCAGCAACAGTTTTTACAAAGACAAAGGGCATCTTCATAAAAAAGCAACATCAAGCTCCAACCCTTGGGGCGTGAGAATAATTAGCATTTATGGTTGCTGTCATTGTGAAATGCATTAAAACATTATTGAGACTGTAGATAACATGATTATACTGATGCCTCCCACCTAGAGGCCTGGCCTAGAAGGTCTTAAGGAGATTGAAATTATTCAAGAAAACTGAAAGTACAGTGATTATAGCAGGGCAAAGCACAATATGCATGTACAGCTGTACATACTGCAAAAAATAATGATGAAGACGTTTTTCTGCTGAGATATTGAATGTTCAAGATAGCAGACACAGACACCATTTAGCTTTGACTGGTTTTAATGTGACTTCATAACAGGAGATGACTCACGTTATCAGTAAGTCCTTCCCTGCCTGGGAGCAATGAAAAGATACCACGTTTTTGTAAGTGATAGTCACAAACTGTCACAATGAAGAGTTTGGTCAAAAGAAATGAGAGTCAAGCAAAAAATTAAAAGATTATTTAAAAGCTACAATCTTGGACAAAACTGTTGAGAAAATTGTATACTACAGGAGCATTTTTCTTAACATTGTAGCTGTACCAGTTCTTCCCACTCCCCCTTCTCCTGAAAGCAATGTTGTTGTGTATTCAAAAGAAAGCCTAATCCCTGGGCATTTGAAGGAAGCAACATTGAACTGGGGGAAGGGGATGTCTTTCCGCAAGGTGTCGTTTTGGAAATAGTTTTGTTGCGTAGGAAAGCAGACATGATGGGGAAAACTTTCTCAAGTAGTTTTGTCCGGGATTGTAGCAACGATAATGCAAAGATCAAATTAATTGTTTTTATTTTTATGATATACATTTTTGTGGCATTTATAGTACATGGTGGTATGTGGAATTTTACATACCACCCATGAAGTATGTATGTACCCAAGTACCGTCTGTCAAGAGTCTTCAAAATTGTTTAACCTTCAGCTTTGAATACAGAAAATATTTATCATATTATTTGACTTTGGGGACAATTACAATTTACCTCCACCATGCAAAAGTGTTAAAAATACATAGATATTGCCAAAAATCACCTATCCTAAACAAATCTTCATTCACTCGTCACGATACCATTTATCACCATTTTGACAAATCTGCTCTAACTATGGCCTACTGCAAAGCTCTACAAAGCTCACAAAAGATTCTTGACAAATTAACGATTAAGCTTATTGTAGCGTGAAGTTTGTATGGACCTAACAGCAAGGTAAATTTAGCCACTGAATAAAAACTCAACAACAACATAACAAACATGCATGCCCATAGTCCAATCTGTCTGCGAGTAAAAAAAAGTTTTATAAATTATTCCTTAATTGTCGTGGTGTGCAAACATCAACAGACCGCATTGAAGTAAATTTGTTAGTGTTTCAATTAGTATGGATGGTAGAAAATGTAATAGATTTGCGTTTTATTTTTTCTCATAAGTGTCTCGTCTTTCGCTTCACCACTGTTACATTTAAGCTTAGTTTACCTCTCGCAACAAACAACAGCTGTTCTGAGAGTGTGAGGAAACTAAGTAAGATTAGAACACAGAATAATGCTATTGATCTTAGAAAAATTATGAACAACAAGACGCTACCTACCGTTCAATAGCGTATCCAGGCACGATGTCTCTTCCACCCTGCACTATAACATTCTGCTGAGTAATTTTGAAGAGTAACATGATCGAACGAGGAATCCGCAATCGAGAGTACATCGTCGTAAGAACTCCTTATTCCTTGTCGCTATAAATCCAGCTGATCTCAGTGATAAACACGGCTTCCAAACTCATTAAATAAAGGCCTATAGCTGACACATCACAAGGGTTGATTCATGTGGGCTGTCAAAAAGTGATGAATCGACAATCATGGGCTAAAACGTGTGAAACAAGCTTTGTGTAAAGCGTAAGTTACGCACGGTAACCAAACGGAGTGAACGCGGTATGTTTTGGCATTGAAAGAACTTCTTCGGGGGTAGGGTACGTATAAGCCTTCGTAGCCAAGCCTTCACTTAGAAAAGTTTTAACGCCTGACGGATTTCCGCATTTCGCAATCCAGGTTCATAGTTTGTGTAACGACTTTACCGGCGATTGACGCTTCCATTTCAACTTTTTGCCCCCAAAGATTCACTTTTCATGGAGGATAAGGGCGAAAAAAGGATCTTGGGGCGATCCTCCTTCTCTCTGCTCATCGAAAATCTCTCAGAAAGATTTAGAACCGTGTCGAAAGAATCAACCGGCGTGTGGCGCTATTTTAATACTACAACAACGAAAGGGAAGAGAAATGTGGTGCTCTTGTGCTATGCGTTAGGATTCATCGGACTCCACGCAGTTTGGCAGCACTCAAAGAAAAACAAGACTTTAATTAACGAAAATACTGAAGGTGAAGAAGAAAGTGCGACGACAAGTTGAACATCTTGACGAAACAGAACTAAAATAATTCACTCCCGAGCTAGATTTTCGTGATTTGTCATTCTTCGGACAATTTCAAGACGTACATTTTTTGAGAAAAGGACCTTGATATGACTGCAGACTGAAACGTGGTTAAAATGATGCAAGCATTCAAGATTTCCCAAACTTCAAATGATCAGATAATTCTATGGAAGTAACACTTTAAAATTGCTTTATCATTGTCCTTGCTAAGTAATATATCACTTTTTCCCGCCAGCAGTTTCATCCATATTTAGCAACAACCATGCTGCTTCAAAAGAATGACATTCTCTCAGATTGATCAGACCCTTTCATTTTCTATTTTAGTTTAAGTAGTTTATTAACCTTTCCTTCTGTGACCTTTGTCATTATTTTGTTTTTTATTATATTATATTTTATTTTATTGTAAAGCTGCTTAGAGGTAGTTTATATTAGTGTATAGGTAAGTTTATTTCCATTTTCATCAATGTACATTTTGCAAGTTAGCTGAATCGATGTTTTTCAACAATCAAGAATCACAGGCACAAACGTTTGACAAAATTATAGGCATTCAGTTTCTCAGTGTCGATGTTTTGTGAAGATGATCACGTACTGTACATTAAAAATGAGGGTACAAGTAGGGTAATTAGCGCAAATAATATTTCATTCAAACTTCCCTTAAGTGAACACCCAAAATTCAAACATTTTAGTAGTTGCTCACAGGAGATTGAGGCATAGCACATACAGGGAACAAAGTAATCAGACCATCCATCAATCCATTGTCTAATGTAAGGAAAATTATAAAAACAGTCACCCAACTGTGGTCAACAACAACAACAGATGGCCATTTCTGAAAGGTTCTAACTAAGAGGCTTTAACAGGGTCAAGGAAAATTTTAAAATTTGACACTGCTGTGATGTGTTCTATAAAACCTTTACATGTATTGTATGATCTACATTTTCCTCCCTACATCAATGCAGTGGCTTCGCTAAAACTTTTCTGAAGCTATCTCCTGTGTCATTGTAGGAGGAGAAAACAATACCAAGATTTTCTTTCATGGTCTTTCAGCAACTGGGTTAATAAGTCACATTCAGGCCACTGGAGAACAATAGAGAAACTGTCATTTCAAGTGCAAACCCTTCATCAGAGTGAACCACTCTGATGATTGGCTGTGGGCTGAATATCAAAACATCATCTTCTCTATTTAGCTACAGCGGCCAATCTGCCCTTACAACTCAGTTTATGAAACCAAATCGTTGTATTTCAGTCCTCTACTTGGCATAACACCCAAGAATCTTTTGAAGCAAACCTCTTTATTCATTTGGTGTACAGCTAGCTTTGATCCTGCAATAGCAATTTTTTAAAAATGCATACTAGAAATAATCAAATTTTAGCAAGTAAAATCTACCAAACAGAAGACAGAGAAAGTTTACGCAACAACATTGAAACCAGAAACCGTGTAAGTTACCATTTCAATAGTAGTCTGTGATGAAGTAACTTTAATAAGCCTGCTTTGACTTTTTTCAAAGGGCTGCAGTGCCACAGCTTAATTCCCCCCATGTAAGGGAATTCAAGGCAGTCTTGGTACTGGGTTCCAGTCTTTTTCAGTGGAACTTGGATTCTGGATTCCAATCATTAGTGGGAATCCAGATTCCTTGAAATGTATTCTGGATTCCAAAGCCCAGGATTCCAAATTCCACAAGCCAAATTTTCCCTGTTTTCCGGATTCAACAGTCAAAAATTTCCCAAATTCGAGAATCTTGACTGCCTTACAGTCGGCCTTTGTCTGCTTTTTTCATATTATTTAGGATCTCTTTTAAGACTGTAGTGCTTTTCGTTCTTCTAATGACAGGTTACATTTTGGCTGGTTGAAATTGTGGTATCCAGTCTGATTTTACGTAACATATTCGGTTTGTCTTTTTGCCCATGAAAGATATATTTTAGGCGCATTCTTCTTACAAACTGCTCAAACTGGCTTGAAGAAGATGACGCCTGACATGTTGTTCTTTTGTTAATGGTATGGGTAATATAAAGATTTAGCCAGGGCTAAAAGCGAAGCTCTCCCTATTGTAATTACCCTGGGTATCAGAGGTTTTTCTCGCGTGCGGCGAAAGCCGCGAGAAAAACTTTTCGCGCGGGTCGCTATAAAGACTTGACAAAAACCGGAAACAGCGCTAGAATTTACTCAAAACATAAAATCGCATGTTGCTAAACGACGGCGACAACAAATCAGTAGGTCTAATTGGCGAAAAAAAAAAACACTTTGCACGTGCAGCCGTTATTGTTGTAACATGAAACTTCCTAGTCACGTTTGTGTTTGTGTCGCTTGTGTTTCTGTTCCGCTAGCATTTCTCATTTTCTCACCGCCGCCATGAAATTTTCATTTTGTCCTTCCAACGAAATTCGTCTCCTTTGTGTTCTATCTCTCGCTCTATCTTTTTGTCGCTATTTCTCTCGTTGACTGTTTGCTAGCCTGTCGCCTACTTTCTCCTTTTGCGGTTAGGGTTAGGGTTCTCGTTTTGTCTCTCTGTCTGTTTGTCTTTCTCTTTCTCTGTATTCCAAATTTATGACATGACAATTAATCTAAGCTGATCAGTCCAGAGACATTGGGACACTTCCAGGTGAGTATGAGATAAAGATTGATGAAAGTGCAACTCCACTAGTACACCAAGGCAGATCCCTTACATGATAAAAGACAAGAAAAAAAGGCTGAACTATGCCGGCGGAAGAGATGGGCATTATCACCAAGGTTGACCAACCCACCAAGCGGTGGTCAACCCAATTGTTGTAGTTCGAAAGTCAAATGTAGATGTCTGTATCTGCCTTGATCCTGTTGATTTGAATAAAGCGGTGAAGAGAGAATTAACATTACCCCTTAATGACGGTGGAAGAGGTAGCCGCAAGTATGTCAGGAGCGAAAGTTTTCTCAACCGTTGATGCAACGTCAGTAATCTACCAGATCAAGTTGACCGAAGAAAGTATTTGGCTTACTACGTTCAACACACCCTTTGGCGGATTTAAATTTGAGAGGTTGCCGGTTGGTCTGGTCTGATCCGCCCCAGACGTTTTTGAAATGGCCATAACTGAGATGTTTGAAGACATCGAGAAATGCGAAGTCATTGTTGATGATTTGATAGTGTGGGGAAAGAATACAGAGGATAATGATCGCACTTTCAAGCAGGTTTTGAAGAGAACAACGGAGAATGATTCAGATTTAATGGGCAAATATAAAAGTCTCATAAATTTGCAAGTCTCAAAGCGCTAAAATTTTAGACATCTATTGTTTTTGATCATTAGTAATGCGCTTTAATTTTGTTAATCCTTTTTTAATATCCATTTTAGTTGGTCATCTTTAAATGTTTTATTTTTCATTAGGGAATCAAATTTATATTTTGTTAATAGTTTTTTAATGTCCTATTTTATATATTTTATATTGTACATAGCTTAAATCTGTTTTATCTTTTTGTTTAGGGAAACGTCATTGGGACATCCTCTAGTTTTCCTTTTCAAGATGTTTTTTTATAATTTTGTTTTTCTTGAATAATACGCTGGGTTAAGTTGAATATGTGGGACATGGATTTGGGACTGATGGAACAAACCCGCTCTTGATGAGCTGCTAGAAAAATCAGTGGAATAGCCCTGGATGGAGGCACAACAGAAAGCATACGAAGAATTGTTCACGACTTGTATCACCAAAGCACCTGGTCTTAAGTATTTTGATGTGAATGAAGTTGTCATTGTATCTGTTGATGCCTCCTCAGAGGGTCTTGGTGCCTATTTGCTGCAAAGGAACCAGCCAGAAGCCTGTGCATCAAGATCACTGAATAGTACCAAGCAAAATTACACTCAGTTCGAAAAAGAAATGGTAGCTATTGTTTTTGGCACCAGCAAATTTCACCAGTACATTTATGAAAAACAGTTATGGTGGAAGCTGACCACAAACCCCTCGAGAGTCTGTTCAAAAAAACACAGAGTGTATGGCACCGCAGCGCATTCAGCGAACATGAGCGAATGACGCTTCGTACGGGTATACAGCAGTACAAACTGATGGTCAAGTACAGACCTGGTGACCAACTGCACATTGCAGATACCCTTAGCCGTGCTAGTCAGATGGAGTCTACATCACAGGCAGACGAGTTTGAAGTTCATTTGCTCCTGGGTATCTCAAAAGAAAAGGTTGACGAGTTTAAAAGAGAGACAGACACTCACTCAGTGTTATGAAAAGCCGGTGAAAGGAGTGATTTTAACCACTGCAATAGGTTCCAGAAAAACCACGAGCTTGCAGTTTATATATCAAAATTTCATGATTTAATGAACCAAAAGCCTTAACTTTTTAAGTGACGTTTTCAGCTCAAGAGATGATCCCAATTTACCCACCATCAAGTTTGATGTTCAAAAAGGACGTGGCAAGTTTTATGGAGCACATTTAAAACTACCATCTCAACTATGCTCATTGGTTCTTAAAAGTGGACAAAGACAATTACACCATCATTGAAAATCTTCGTTTTTACCAGTCCAAATTCAATTACCTCTGACTCGTTACCTAGCTTGGCAGAATTTTTACTCATGCTGGTGCATACAACAGTGGTGCGGGATATGCTTTTAGTCGTGAAACACTGCGAAAGCAAAAGAAAGCACTGGGGGAACCTATAGCTGCCCACACTGATTACCTTTTTGAGGACGTCGGAAAGTGTCTCATAGCACAGGGTGTTTTGCCAGTTAGAACCCTAGATTCAAGCGGCAAAGAAACTCTTATGGCATTACCACTTGCAGAGTCATTTGAACACAATTAATTATAATCTTCCATGGTGATACCCGAAATTTTATAAAGAGGGCGCTAAGCACTGCTCAGATTACCCAAATCCGCTACATAAAGTTAGTCCAAAATCCATTTATCAGATGGAATACTTAATCTATCGTGTGAGAGTTTGGCCCAAATAGAAGTACTAGAATGTATGATGGATAAGCAGTTTTTTCATCCAAATGCTCAAGTTTAGGTTTCAAGTTTCAGAATTTTAGAGGAGAAGTTAAAAACCGCTCTACCCGCAAATAGCAGGGCTAATCTAGGCGGGCAGAGCATATTAGATAGTTTTAATATGCCGAAAATCTAAATAAATGATAGATCAGTAAATAAAATAAATTACTAAGAAATAGATAATGATAGAATTCTAAGGAACTTGTTAACAAAGTAAGTAGAAATTCGATTTAATTTAAAATATAATCTGACACCGAGATAAAAGCTGAAGACACTTTTCAATAGGGTTTTTTTTATTCTATTGAGAATGATAGGTGCTTCAACGTAAAACTGCATCCTCAGTTTGTACAACATCATGAGTTAACATATAACATAAATTTTATAACATTAAGTCATGAACATATAGAAAGCTTTTTTCTGATATTGGCGTATTTCAGCTGCAATACTATTCCATAACTTAGCTAGCACAAATCTGCTGAAAGATCTGATTAGTTGATTCGTTTTTCAATTATGAAGTTCCCCGGCCGAACTAGAAGACCTTGTTTTATATCCCTGTATTTCATATGTTTTGGTGAAGAAAGAGCATGCAATAATGCTTGATGCGGCAAACTTACATGAAATATCATGCATTAAAGTGGAGACAGAAAGCCTAATGTTCTTTTTTCAATAATGCAGGCTGAGCCCTGTTACTGACGGTCATCTCCGTTGGGGGGAGGGGGGAGGTAGTCATGAACCCACGGCAGATAACGTTTTGACCTCCTTTAGGAGAACACATGCGTTTTCTGGTCCTAGGGGTGTCCGGGGGTTTGCTGTACATTTTTATGGAAACTCGAAAAGAATTTTTTTCAGTCTTGTACTCAACAAATGCATTATCCGTTGACCACTTTCCTGCATTGGAAGCAATCCATTTTAGTCATGAACCAAACTGTAAACTGCCACAATTTCCTTTTCAGTTAGCACCGCAGTGACTCCTCTCGAAACTCCTTCCCAGTCGTGAGGGCAATCGGTCACTGCGGGACAGGAAGAAACGAAATCACCCGGGGGGGGCACTTGGGTATTTTTCGGGTGGGTATGTGCCGCCCGGGACTCCAAATTGGCACCCCGTTCTAAAAAAAAATTCTCCTGAAATTGATACCCCGTTCTAGAAATGGGCCAATTTTTTATACCCCGTTTTAGAATTCGCTTTAAAACTGATACCCCGTTCTAGAAATGGGCCAATTTTTTATACTCCGTTCCAGGGTGCCAAAAGAGTACAACAGTTTGCTTGTTAACGCATTGAACCGTATTTTTAAAAGCAATCTGTCCTTGAATAATTTCAAATGGCTGCTTACAAAAGTGGAGCTTTCGTGCGTTCGAAATATTATACCCCTTTCTAGAAATCGCCTCTGAAATGGATACCCCGTTCTAAACCAGGAGCTTCAAACTCCCGACCCCGTTGAGCGGCACATACCCGTATAGGTAATGTATGGGAGTGCCCCCCCCGGGCGAAATCAGCCGCTTCTGGCCTCGCTATCGCCTGCTAATGCAACTCGTAGGGACGACCGGATTTACGTCTGCGTCGGAAGGCTACTGGGCCCGCCCCGCTTGGGCGCTCCGAATAAGTGTTCTTCAGTCGACACTAACTACAAAAAGATTTGGCTTGGCGAGGCCGAGATTCTTGAAATCGTTCGGGTGAGTTAATCAGCATCATCTGTGATCAGGATAGCGCTTAAGTCGCCTTTGAGAACCATGTCTCTCAAACTCTCCCAGGTATCCTTGTAGCTTTTGCAGTGGCAAATATATCACTCAAACTCCACACTTCCCTCGAGTTATCCCCCGGGAGTGCGTCTTAATCCTCGGACGTACACGCAAAATCATACAATGTTGCAGCAGGAACATGGGCTCATGGTTGCAGTATTTCAAAAAAAATTTTACGTTTATTGGAAAGCCTTTGATCTTCTCGACAAGATGAGGTACATTTTATGGGCGGTGGTGCTGCTGGAGGCCTGTGACGTCGCCAAACGTGGTCGACATCTTGGCCGCCATCTTGGATTTTACCAAGAATTAGAAATCAGGAAAAAACGGAGAGGATTGGTAATATTTTTTTGCTTGACATGTAAAAAAATACATAAATAAACAAGTACTTTATTTTATTTTATCCACAAACTTTACTTTTATTGTTGAAACAAGTCGAAAAAACTTGTATTTTTTTCGCAAAAATGGCCTGACCACTTACTAGTCATGACGTCATATCTCGTAACCATAGCAACCGATTATCCCTAAACTTGTCTCAAAATGCGCGAGAAGGATAAGTGAAGTGAACGGCTACTGAAAACTTCAGGGGCTGATGTTGGATCCGATAGGAAAAACTCAGAAAAACCTCTGAGGGGGGTGGTATTCAACTCCCCCCTTGTACTTTCCCAGGGTTAGACGCATTTGTGAATTGAAATTAACCGTAATGTTTTTAAAACAGTCTATGTAGGTCTTTCTGGAAGCTTCTGGATTGCTCTGTTTTGGAAACCATTTGTTCTGATACATGTATATGACGAAATGGTCTTTTGATAACCTTATATTAGTACTGTATGCAACTGGATTATTCTAAAGCAAACAATCATTTAACTTAGGTCAAGTAATTAGATCTCTCTACATAATATATGAATAAAGAATTCATTTGACTTTTATGTGAAACATAGCTGGATACTAAACTCCAATTGCTGTTATTGGAGTCTTTTGTTCGTGAGGCCAAAAAGGCTGACACAGGAAACGTACGAAATGTACGGCGACAATGAAAGGGTCATGAATTGTCTTTGCAGTAAAAAAGCAATTAAAACCGCAAAAACGAACGATTAATCAGTGCTCAAAAGCTTTTTATTCGACAACAGAGAAACAACAAGGAGGTTGATGTTTTGTTTTCATCTCCGCCCCCCGCTGTTCTTTTTTTCCTTTAACAATCCTTTTATATCTTCTTTCTTCTTAGCCCGTGTTTACGTATTAAAAATGAAATCTTTTGCGATGGTGACCAGCCTCCGATGTAATTATGCTAAACTTTATTGTTTATAGGTGCTTTAGGTAATGAACTGCAACAAAACATCAAAATCATTTAATAATAGGTTTTCGTTCTTTTATTCAACTCAAAGGATATGCAAATGTAAGGCCCACTCGCTGTAAAAATAGCTGTTAACTAACATTTGAATCACACAAGCTCAGGATAAAAATTACAAACTACTTCGCTTAAAATCTTCTTGGATTTTCATCAACACCGTGTTACGCAGTTTTGGTTAATATCTCAAATGTTCCGTGCCGCAAAGGGCGACTTTTTCCACTGCACCGCAGAATGAAAGTCTTTTGTTCCTGGATGTTTTCGAGTCGGTTGTGAGAACGGACGTTAGTTTTACTAAAGCAGTTTATTTGAACTAACCTGCGTGTCGACTGGTGTCTATTAAATATATAGAGTTTACCTTCACTTGAGAGACCCAAGGTCAACCAAGAGTATTCTTAAGTTTAAACAGAACACAACTGTTTTAGAAAATGGAACGATTTGCAGTATTTCGCGCCAAAGACCCTCAAGTAACTATGTGGCTACAGAAGAATGGTTTTCAAAACCGTAGATCCGAAGGCCTCGTGGAAACTCGTGCGGCAAAGACATCGCAGATTAGTCGAGAAGAAACAAAACTTGCTGCACAAACCAAAGAAGTCAGGTTTTATGCAGAGAGACAAATGCAGAGCAAAACTACTACTTTGGTTTCAGTCAAGAAAACGGCCACTACTGAACAGGAACGAAACGAGGTTCAACATCATGAACGTTTGAGCAGTTTAGAGATGCCAGCTATTTCCTTCAGCAAGACTAAGCGTGTTGTGTATCAAAATAAGGAAGAACCTTCACTAGCTGAGAATATTAACACAGACGGCAGGAAAAAAATAAGAAGCTATTCATGCCCGCCAGATAGCAGGCCTTCCTTATCTCGGAGATATTCCACTGTGTCTTTGTTTTCAGACAGGCCTTGTAACATACCAGTGTTAATTCGAAACAATGATGTACGCCTTCGAAAATATAGCTGCCCCGAGTACTATTCAACAGGTACGAATTACTACATGGAACAAAGAGGGAGCAGTAAATTAAACAAAAACCCACAAGGAAAAAGGACGGCTTTAAATGGGGCGAAAAACAGTCACCAACAATTAGCGAGCAAGCTTGGAAACCAAACAACGCGAGAGGAAAATGAGACGAAAATCAATAATACTACAGGAGTGACAATTAAGCCTAGTACGAATCTCGCCATGGTCTTGAAAACAGAGTTGAGTGATTTTAGTAAAGATCCTGCAACTGACCATAATGGAAACGAACGTTTTAAGCCTGCACCAAATTCAACGTCAGATGATGACGGGTTTGGTTTGGTATTCCATGAAGAATCTCTAGAGAGTTATAGCTCGGAGATTCCACCCAAACGGCCAACGAAGCAAAATTTGCCATCGAGTATGTATAATTCAAGAGATAATATGCTGGCATGGCTCGGGGAAGTGAACAGAAATATATACCCTCAAATTCGGAGCTAGTAAGCCGTTTATGAAAAGGACGCAACATTTTGCAGTGAAAATTGGCGAAGAAATGACTTAGCATCATTGACTGATTTTACCGGTGCTTTACTGCAATTGCAAGATAGTCGTACGAGGAAAGATACCTGAAAAGGAGTTAACATTTGTTCACAAAGGAGCGCAGTTGTCTCTGAACTATTAAATATTGCTCGACTACAGCAAACACTTTTACATTTTAAAATAATATTTATTTGGGCTGCAATTCCTGTCAAGAGGTTTTGTTACAGCACAATTAACAGTTAGACATTTACTGTTTTCTTAGAGATTACAGATGATGGCTAAGGTCTTAGTCTCGTTTTATATAATGTTTGTTCGATCTTGAACCAGGCTGGTCTACAGCACGTAACTATGTGAAGCATCAATTGATCAACAGGTTTTTTTCGACCTCATCTCATGCAGGTTACTCCGCATAACTCTCGAAATCAAGACGCAATCGAAATTGTTATAGCAACGGCCTAACCTGCGTAGAAAATTAAAATGAAGATATCAGGAACTTTTCAGATGTTCCAAACCGTGGCTGACTTTTCATTTTTCATCCACATCCTCTAGCAATGTCGTTCCCACGGTTTTTCGGCTAGGGCATCAAGGGAAGTGTTGAAACACTGTTTTGAAAGACTTGCCGAGCGATCAAATATAGAATGGAGTAATTTACCTGTATAAGTAAGAGAAATTTACTAGAGAAAAATATAGAGCTGAAACGGTTTCTCTTTTTCAGTTCGGAAAGTGTTCAGAAGAAACGCGCCCTTGGTCATGGTGTGACAAGTTTCATACTTCTAAAAATTGGAATCAAGCGCAAGCCTGACCGCTTAATTGTGTAAGGTGGAGGTCCCTACTGTTTTCATGGGAGCTAATATAAAGCAAAGAATCAGATACATTCTGAGCCGCGGACCACTGAGAGCATAGGCAGTCATGCAACCCTAAAAACGACTACTACAATCCCACTCCATTTTAATTTATGTTCTCCCCAAACCTTTGTATTCTATCACATGCAATTCCCAAAGGATTTCCTGGGGAAAAGCGAAAGAGTGAGAGAAGGCCCTGGTATCGGCTGGTCACGTGTTCAGTGTAAATATTCCTATGAATCTAGAGCATACCGCCTCTGTAATGTTAAGTTACAAAAAACTATTTCAAAAAGATTTTAGACAAGCCGCTATGGACACATATTCACGTACAATGCATGCCAATAAAATTACGACAAGCTGGAAATTATTTTGTCCAGTGTCGTATACAATGCGAGCCTTTCTTGTTTTCCCGCCTCTCTCATTTTCTAAGGGAAACAGCCTGGGACTAGGTTGCATGCGAGATAGGGCCAACAAAGCCAACTCGGCAAACTGCTGTGATCAAAGTTATTTTCCATTGTATTGTTATAACGGCCGTTATAACCTTATTATTGATCATAACATAACTTTATTATTTATGTAGCGCAAAATACATGGGTATATGATCTAATGACAGCTTCTGTCTTAAACCGGCCCGGCCCGAAGCCGGCTAGATTGGCTGGGTTTTGTTCCATATTTTGGTGCATTGTGGAGTAAATAAGTAGGAGGGAAGACTGGAACCCACTGAGACGGAAGTAAATAATCAGGAGTTATCGCACCAAACCCTCTCGGCTAACCGCGCCGGCATGATGTTGGATTTCCTGTGTGCGATTTGTGTGGCCGGACGCGGGGGGGATACTCTTCATACTTTATCGGATATTGTTAGGAACGAAAAGTTATCCGGCGGGTATAGTGTGTACATAGTCGTTTTTTTTTAGCGAGATTAACCGTGTTCACGATCTTTGGCGCGATATCCAATCGGCTGCAATTCCTCACCTCCAAGGTTCTCAACCAGCTGAATTTTGCTCGCTTTGTTTGGCTGACATGTTGTTAGCGCGAAAAACGAGTTCTAAGTAGCCTAAAAATCTAATGGAACTAATACGCTGCATCCTCCGACTGGGGACTGTTTTTTTTTTTAGGAAGGGGGGTGGGGGGAGGAGGAGAGAGGGGCTGAAAAATCGGAGGCTTACTTAGAGTACTATTCACGGTAACGCCTACGCCAACAGAGGCAAGCTTAGTTCAGACCCCCTCCAGATCACTTACAAATTATGACCACCGCCACCTTCTTCTAACATTAAACTGAATTCGTTCCAACTGTGACGCTTTTGATGACATTGCCCGGAACAATGCCTCGAAACTATGTGCGACATAACCGTCCATTTTAGAACAGTCCGATTACGCAGCGGCGCTCTTCTGAGTCGTCCTGTCACCATGGATATTATCCATGCTGTCACTGGATTGCAGCTCCAAGCGAATCTGCGTGACTAACTTCCATTTGATGATATAGTGTCGGTTATCAGCCATTCCCAGGGGTAAATCCAGTTAGCTTTTTTTTAGCTATCCCTTTAACTTTCGTCTTATAAAGGGACACCCCCTTCTTGGATCCACACTTGTTGTGTTCCTGAATTTGAAAAGAGCTAAAATGTCATGTAACCAGAATTGTTCATGGTTGTGGTCACCGTTAGTTCTTCGCTATATTTTGATGACGGGCACATCATGTTTTATTTATATTAAATCAGCTCAGAGAGAAATCAATTATTGTCAGTGACACAAAAATGGTGTTTGAATTTTCAAGTCAGCTGGTCTACAAGAAAATTGGATACCACCCCCCTCTTTTAATAGAAACTTACATGTTACCCACTTCCTGACGCTGTGAGTTTAACCGGTGCCCCTCCCGTCTGGTTTTGAACAGTCCCAAAGGTACACTAGGGACCTAAGATCCGAGGACGACGAGGGCAGAGAAAACGTCGCTGAAAAGCGAATTCGCGTTCTTTCAATCTTCATGGCGATTACTCCAAGTCACTAACTTTGTCAAATATAGGTGAACCCTCCTTAAGTTGACTTCGTCGTAGTCGTGTAGTGACTCACGGCGCAAAGAAATGTACAAAAATTGTCCAACGGTACCGTACTGCAGTGGCGGATCCAGACCTTGAGATAACAGGTGGGGAGGGGGCAAAAAGAATTTTTTTCGGCCCTTCGTTTCTCAATTTGGCCTATAAATAAGGGGGTCCCCGGGCCCCTCCCCTGAATCCGCCACTGCGTAGCCTCCAACGTCATCGCCAGGGGCTTTCATAACGTGTTCATCGGCGCCAGGGTCACACCCTCACGGACACTTACCATTACTTTTGTATAAATCAATCTGATGGCAAATCACTGATGTGGAGGTCTGTCTTACCAATCGTAAGTCAAATTATTTTCATCCATACTCTGATATTGAGAACGAAGGAAACGGATAGCAGGGTTCGTACAGATTTTTGGATCCAAAACTCAAGACTTTTTCCAGACTCACTTACTATAAAGCATTAATTTTGTCGTGGCTTTGAAAAAAAATAAAACTCCAGACTTTTTCCAGACTTTATCTTTATTTTCCAGACTTTTTCTAGGTCTGGAAAATTGCTGGGCAAATTGCCAGGAATTTTTCAAGAGTTTAAGACTCTGTACGAACCCTGCTTTAGGGTAGCCTCCCCGCAGATGTCCTTTGGGGTTCGTTTGGGAGAAATGAATGCGTGACAGACGAACCCCAAAGGACGTCTGCGGGGAGGCTAGGGATAGGGTGGAACCTTCATAATTTTCGCCCGTTGACTCTCTTTCAGAGCCTAAAATTTCCTTCTGTTCTTTAATTTGTTCCCTGGGATGTACACTGCGACTATTATTGCACACTTCAGTTAAATACGCTTGGCCGATGAAATAATCTCCGGACTCTGTCCAAACTTTATTGTTTATACTTAGACATTTGATGACTGAAAACCTTGGCTGACAAGTGTATAATACGAGCCCGCCTTTTTTCACCTCAAGACAGCATTTATCACAAACATAATGACCACTTTTTTCAAGGATTAAATTTTTTGTACAAGCATGATGAAATTTCATTTTAAATTTCGTTTGTTTTTTTGGGTGACCATGGCATTCAAAAAGCCAAAGAGATTACAAAAAAAAACTGTAATCTGCAGAGTTAAAATCTTCTTGCACCGAAATAAGAATAATAATTCGCTTTTCTACGCAACTACAAAGTCAGTCAGCTTCTGACATTACTTAAGTGTTTGCATTCTTTATGGGGGTATGTGTTGGGGGTAGGGACAGGAGACAGGACCGGCTGGGAGAGTGCAATGTAGGGAGAGCAATTTAGGGATAACTGGGGCTGGGTCATGCTAAATTTCATAATTATTTGTTCGATTTTTCACTCTAACTACGAACTGGAACTTGGAAAGTAAAAATGAAATTACAGCCTTACAAGGCATGACAATTCTGGAGTATTGTAGCCTATTTTCAAATATGTTTAACTGAATTCGATTCTATTTTCAGACCATGTTTGATACATTGTGTACGAATGTAGTTTAACTAAAATACAATTCATAAACTCCTTTTGGCATTTTTAAAACATTTTCAGCTGTCATTTCAAACACTCCACAACTATTCAAGGCCAGAGAGGTTGAAACCTTTCCAAATAATTTAAGTGCTGGGGGCAGCAATCATTTCCATGGCAAAATGTAACATCCCAGGCTTTGAGCAAGTAATATTATAAAACAAATCAAGCACTTGGTTATTGTGCTGTAAACACACCTATAACAGCCTGACCAAGCCCCTAGAATATTATAAGCTTTATATTACTTGACAAGAGATGAATGAAAAGGAGAAAAAGAAAGAGATAGAAAGAAAAGAAGGGAGGGAGGGAGGACAGAAGCTTAGTAGAAGAAGTTCTTAGTCTCCTCTTTCTTCTTCATCTTCTTCCTCCTCATCCTCTTCTCTATCATCATCGCCCTCCATCTTCTTCACAAAGTCATCTGGTGACACAATGACAAAAGCAATCCATCATTCCAGCAAGGCTGGATGGAAGCTATTTGCATGCTATTGCATGGATCATGACAGCCTTAAATTATTTATTAAACAACCAGTGTATAAATGTACATTGTAAAACGGTGTCAGCTAAAATACAATCAATTGTGGTTCAATTTTATCCTTGGTTTAAATTTTACTTTTCTTTGTCATTATCAACATCACCATACCCAAAAACAAAGGAAAATAAAATTTAAACCGGGATAAAATTAACCCACAACATTATACATATTATACAGCTGTGAGTTAAGGCATGAACCCATAACACAGTTTGAAGTTGTAATATGGAGACACTGGGTTCTCCAAAGACTCCCGCCCTGGCCGCTACATGTAAATGGATTTCTTCTTGGTAGTCCTGAGTGCAAATCCTTGACCAAGCTTTTAAATAGCCCACTGGTTTGTCTCCAGCCAGTTGGGATTCATAACCCCATTATATTATGTTTATTTGAATTATTTGGTTTTTTGTTCACTCAGCCCCACAAGCCTTTGTGCTGTAAATATTACTGAAAAGGTTTATTTACATGGCTGCATTATAGCAGTTCAATGACAAACTTTAGACCTTGAAACCAGGTTACTTAACATAACAGCAGCTTGAATCCATGTAAAAGTGCAGCTGAAGAGCTTTGACTTGTTGAAGTAGGATTTTATCTTCAGAAACTCTATTTCATTCTTTGAAATAATTTTATTGCAAAAACTGAAAGAAGCATTTGACTCACCTATTATATCCCTGATACTTGCCCATCCTCGCTTAGGTATTGTGATTGAATTCCGATAATTGGCAGTAACCTGGAAAACAAAGTAATAATGCAAAGTAATATGTCAAGGACACACATCCATTGCTATGTCTGTTCTGACAGCATTAGAGTAAAGCTGTTTTGCAAAAACAAAATTCAATACAAAATGTCAGTGATCTATTAATTGTTTTGACCAGTACACAGACTACCGGGAAAAACTAAAACCTTACCTCAGAAATCCTTAAATAGACCCCTCTTGCATTACTACCAACATCAAAGTAAAACCGTTTTTGCTCCACACGCTGCTCCCGTGAGGCAGGCAAGTCACTTGTAACTTCCTCTGTAATTATAGACAAAGCAGTAAAATTAATCTAGAACTGAAGGCTGCATGACAGACCTGTAGTCACTGACAGGCTGGCAATCCTCACATCCAATATTTTTATGTTTTATTATTGCTTTCTCTTTAACTTTTTGCACTGCACTTGAATGATAACTTTTCAATTTACATGTGTTGACACTTCATGCAAGAGAAGAAAAATAAATTATCCACTCAAAATAAATGAAAGATGAGGAGGTCTGCAAAGAAATTCCCCAAGTTACTCCTTGATGTTTGCTTTTCAAAAACCAGTATAATTATCCCAACCCTATTTCGGGAGTATTGACTTTTGCTTGTGGCAGGTAACTACACTGTACAAGAAAATAGGAACTCTTATAAGTGATTAGCCACCAAAAACATCATGGAATATTCAAAGTGTAATAAGGTAAATAAGGTAAACAACTGAACCAAAGTCCAAGCCCTATAATAAGCATGCAGACACCCATGGATCCAGGGAAAGTGTACCATGCTTATGAGAAGTATTCAACCAGAGGAAGACAATTACAAATGCGATGTTTATGCAAATGAGCCATATATGTGAGGGGTCTACCTATACAAAGTTCCATTAACAAAGGTTGAACTGTTTTCCAAGAAGACTTACCCTCATCAGAACCATATTGCTCCAGTACTTCAGAAAGGGCATTTCTTATGTCCACGATGCCTTGCGCTGGGACAGCAATGTTTGTGCGACCTCCTCGGCCATATGTCCCAGTTTGGTTAATCTAAAAAAACAAAATACGTATACAGTTGGCCTTATTAGTTTGTTGTACTGGTCCCAGTTCCTAGAGGATACCATTTGCATTATGTTTTTTTTGCCAGCTGTTATTGATCCCCAAACATGTTGAAGTATGCATGGTTAAACTTTATTAACACTACAGCAAGAGCTTCAATATTGCCTTTAACAACATTCCATGCTTTTTGTTTCGGGTATTTTGATCCCAAACTCAGTCCCTAAGAGGGATGCTTTATATTAAGGGAATATTTGCTTTTAAGGGAGAACTACATCAACGTAACTCTTTCATTGTTTTTGCTCATCATTAATCATCATTTATCGTGTATTACCTAGCTACACTATTTATATTTTATACATCTTTAATAATAATATACTATCTCTTGTTAAGTATTAGTTCTTGCCTTGCTAATATTTGTGCCACCCACACCACTACTTCATTTTGTCTATGTACACTGTACATAATTATGTTGTAAAATACATTCTCATTTCTTAATAATATGCTATAGATTAGCAAAAGCTCAGAACACAGCAAAATGATACAGTACTAGATTAAGGCCTCACTTGACCTGTTTACTGAATATCCGTGATAATACTGGGCATAAAAGACAACTTCAACAAACAATAATACATGTAATGTCTTTCAGTTTGTTGCTGAAAATGTTGCCATGGCCCTGTTTTAAGTGTACAGTGTACGCTGTAAATGTCAACATTATTAACAAGTACTGAACATTACTTTATCAGAGGAATTTAAAGATGCCAGTTGACAATGGGAAGAAACTTAATATGTTATGCAAAATTAACGTAAACTTTTCCAAACGTTAGGTTAACATACATCAAATTAACACAAAATTTTTCAAAACAATGTTTTGTTATTGAAATAAAGCTGCTGTAAAACAACAATGATGTAAAATAGTGTGAATTACTGTAGGTGATGTATTAAATTAATGCGATTTCTTTAAAATCACGTTAATAAAGTGCATCTTTACAATTTCCAATAACTGGATAATTTTTATTGTGTTGCCAATAAAAGCCAGTATAATTGCCAGTAGCACAGGTAACTAACACTGACCTTGAGGAATTTTCCTCTATTGTTTTCTTTGAGGTCCAGATAGTACATTCTGTTGTTTGGTCCTCTGATACTTTCACTGAAATAAATTTCATTGAAATAGTGGTTCTAAAACTACTAACCTTACCAGCAGCAATAAACCAAATTAATTTATAGTATGCTGCAATTGCATGCAAGCGCAACACACTATAGCAGAATTCAAGACGACTTACCACCATCATACATGTACCACACTTCATGGCCTCCTGATCCAGATGCAAAATATTAGCTTGCAAAGTTTGGGCATGCACAGAAAGCAAAATTTTGCATTTAAAGTGACACAATAGTCTTGAGTTTTACTTTATGCTTCTTCTCCTTCCCTCTTTTTTTGCTTTTCATGCCTCATTTTTTTTAGTAGTCTTCAGTTTGGTGGGAAAAGTTTTTAAGAAAGCTTTTAGGATCTTAGGATTTGATAAAAGGAAAGGTACATGTAGGTGGGTAGTGGAGCGAGATTTTCATGGAAATTTTCAGGTCAATGTTATATGTCTTTTTTCCCTTTTTCTCTGTGTCCTTGACTGAATTGTGCTCATTCTGGTATGGTTTGAAAGATCTCTTCACCCTGCACAAGTTAGCAGATATAGAGGATATTACATGGCTGTGTGGAGATACGAAATTTTGTATCTCCAAGCGGCCATGTAATGTTCTATTTATTATATGAACACCAATGAACTACTAAACCATTTCACTTTAATAGTTTTTTGGTATGAAAGGTGCAATTTATTATGTAGCCATAGCAACGGTGATATTTTCACATGTGAAGATGTCAAGTTTTCGCACGAAAGCTCACCTGGTATTTCATTGGAGTTTATATAATAAAAAGTTTTTCTTGACCATTAAAACTGATAACGTCACAAGCAGTAGAAGGGAAATGGATCCACACAGGCAATAAGGTTGGCTCAGGGGCGAACAGGTTAATAATATTTTTATGGAGCCACAGGCAAATAATAAAAATTGTCTCAGCACAATTTTACAACTCACTCATCTTGTTAAATGCATGCAACTAAAAGCAGTGATAATACTCACTTCATCAAATCGCCAGATTCCTCAGATTCTTCATCACGTTTTGGGTCTAAGAAAAGAAATGCAGCCAGAGGTATAATGTACATCAGACCAATAACGATGTGGTCTCAGAAAGCAGAAAAATAATTATTATAACATCTGCCATACTGGATACAATGTAGTTCACTTTGATTCTGTTTATAACTAACCTACTGGCTGGTTACTTTAAGTTTATCAGGTTTTTAAAATTTGTACTGTGTATTTTTTAACCTAGGTTGATCCTCAATTTTTTTCCCTAATTACTCATGAATTAGGGCTAGTAGACAAAGGAAATTGAAAATCAACCTAGGTTTAAAAATTTAAACTTGGATTTAATTTTGACCTGTTACATATATGCCTGATTTTTTGTTACCATCCACTGTGTACTGTAAAACCAAACACCGTAGCTGTGCCAGCTGCAAGACTGTGAGTATGTTAGCCAATCAAATTCACAATAAAGTTTAGGCTAGAAGAATTTACTAAATAATATGTACAATACACTTGTTATACCTTGGGCAAGGAAATTTGCAAAAGCAGTTAGCTTGGTGCAGAAATCCCTAGCCACCCCCATGGTGAAGATTACCTTGCTCTTGCCAGAACGGTTTACAGAAACCTGAAAGACAACTTTCCTATTAGTAACATTTTCACCAACAACAAAACATTAATTCACTGGCTTGGATACAGCATGAAAGCTAGAGCTGGAGACATTATTGAAACTGGAGGGAGTAGTGTTATAATCGTAACAGAAAGCTGAAATTCAACTTGTATCTAATGGAAAACATTATAAAGAAAATAGTAATGCACATTAAAATAACCTACAGGGGCTACAAACAATCATTGTTGTCTAAAAGAATTATTCTTCAAGCAGAGCGAGTTTATAATTTTGTCAAAATTCACATTTGCGCGTGGAACGTGCATGGATCACAAAGCGAGACAGAAACATTAGTTGGCTTTATATGTATATACCCATATTGGGTTGGTAGTCACAGCGATGTCATCCATTTTTTGCGATGTTAAGGTACCCTGGTTTCTTGTTTTCAATGTTTTCGCAGACAAGTTTGTTTATGTTTCTCCAAAGTGCATTTCAGTTTGGCCTTTTACTGTCGAAACCTTGTCTTTTTTCCCTGAAATCTAATTTGGAATTCATTTTACACTGTGGAAAACCCAAATTTAGTTTGGCGTTTTGCCTGACAATGGATCATAGTTTCAGCTCTGTAATACGGCACGCAGTATACTAATTTTCACACGAACTGCACTACCTTGTTTGTAATTTTTTTCTTAATCCGGCAGCCAAAATAATGCTAAATATGCTTTTTAATACACTTTTAGAAATAATACATAAATTATTGTACCTTGTCTTTTATTATTAGCAACCTTGATTTTAGCATGATCAGTGCAAGACCTAAGGGTTGCACCCCTTACCTCATCCTAAGAGCAGAGCCTCCTTTAGTCTTCTTGAGTGAGAAGGAGAAAAGGAGGCTCTGCATGAATTGCCGAAGCCCAAACATCTGGACTAGTCAATCTCCTTGACTCTCGCCAAACTGGTACAGATATTCTGAGTTTGAGCATCGGCTTATTAATAAACTGATGGTCATAAATGAGCTCGCTGTACCAAGCCCATAGCTATTAGGCTGGGTTTGAAACTGTATCTCAGCAAACAAGCAGCACATGCTAAAAATGATCAGAGTCTTTCTCAAGTATGCCAAAATTACGCAGGCGAAAGAAAGGCTGTGCTAGCAGCCTCACTTTTTCCCCTACCCCCCTGCAACTCCTTCCCAACCTGAAAAATTTAACCATTTTCAAGTAAATGCAGCAACAATAATAATTATAATTTCTTAATAATTATTATTAAGAAATTATAATTTATCTTTGAGTGCTGTTTACATTTCTGCCATGCTCACACACATCAAATCTATTTATTAAGGAGGATTTATATGGAGTCATCAGAGCAATAACATGGCTTAATATCTCCTCACCAATTTTTACACCAATATGCTGAATTTTGGCAAGTGAAAAATTCTCATCTCATGAATGCTTTCTGAATATGCCAACCAATCCCACGTCATATTTCACAGATTTAGTTTCTCTGATGTCATCATTATTTTCTCTTCTCTATTATGGTTTTCTTGTATTCTTCAAGCCTTTGAGAAGAGTCATTATATAAGAATGCCCTCTTTCTTCAAGCTTTCACTGTTATTCTCCCTTTTTTCCCACTATTGCACCTAGTCTCCTATAACATGCCACTCTGCAGTACAGTGCTTTACAATCTGAAGTAATCTTGGTTTGATAATACTTCAAAAAATGCAGTGTTCAGAAACCTTCACTGCCCTTCCTGCTTTTCTACATGTAGTTCTAAAATCTTCCTAGCTTGCTACAGATCCAAGCATATTTACCGTACCTGCTACAAAGGAGTTTATTTTTCTATTCAAAACTTCTACAAGAACCCTGAAATTACCAGCAATAAATTTACTTAAACAAAAAAAAAAACAGAAAAGTGGAACTCTATTTTGAATTGCATACAAACTGTACATGTGGCAGTAACATGACATTCACAACAAGTGAAAAGGTTGTTGATATTGTCATCTCCATCTCTTATGGCCACATCCTTGAGTTTTGATATAAGACAGTGTAAGTTAAGCTGTCAGCACATTACAACACTGTACAAAGGAGACATGACCATGAACAAATATAGAAAACTTCTATCAATGAGAGCAAAATAAAACCCAAAAAGTAAATTTGACGGCTCCATGACAAAATGCTAGGTCAAATCAAGAGCCACATAAACTGGCAGGAATAATAACTTCTGGTATCTGAATACTTGTGAATAATTTAAAATTGAATCCTTAATGACAATATTCCTTTGTTCTTTTCATTTCAAGTCAAGACACAGAAATGCACCAAACATTTAAGTTCCAATATCTAATGAATTGAACTAGAAATGGTTGAACAATTCCAAAGTTTGTAAAATGTACTTTACCTGAGCATAATTATACAACGTTACTTTTTTTGATGAGGAAAATTTTATTCTGCTGATTAGCACAACTAGAAAAAGAGCAATAACTAGAGACGTAAATCAAAATTCAATTTCACTGCTTTTTCAGTTGCACACAATGTAAAAACTAAAGACCATTTCTATCATTTCAGTTTTTTCAAAGTTTGGTTGAAAGGGGGCTAAGATTGACTTTGCAGTAATACACAGAAATAGAAATAGTACGAAAAGATTTTCATGTTCGCCTGTCAAAGATATTTCTGACGGAATATTTCACTCCGTAGCGTATCGATTACCCAAAACAAAATGAAACACCAATGCAAACTAGGAGGCAATAAACATCACTGATCCTTGAAAATTACATAAGGACGCGACGATATATCCTTTGACAAGGTAATGCAAAATACGAAAACTATAACCTTGATTTTCACCAAAATATGAGAAATCTAGGAATTCAAGTACATCATAATTTCACGGAAATTTACATAATTAGTTCCTAAAACCTTTGTGCAGACCGGCAAGAATATTCATGAAAAAAAGTGTCGAAGCGCAAGCGAACAGTCTCTCTACTGGTGATTCATTTCTTCGAAACAAACTTGATATTACAAGGTACTTGCTCCTTATGTTCTAAAAACGGGCAAACAAAAACGTGGAAATGTTACTACCTACAATAGCAGAACAAGCTAGCGGCCTGCAAGTACAGCTAAATAATTGATAATCGGTGATTTTATCGTCTATCAAAACACAGAATTTCTTTTCGGGTATAAAATATTCCCTGCACTTAACAAACGGATAAATACGCTGTTATTCTGAAAAAATATGGCTTAAAGTAAGAAATGGTGAATTTTGCCACCGCATAATAAATGCAGTGTA